ATTGGTTTCCGTCAACATCAGCTCCATGATCATGGTGGCATCCTGCCTGAAGCCCGTGCTCGACTTTCACAGCCTTGCCCGGGCCAATCTGCCTCATTCGTATGCCAGTGCTCTGTGTTCTCACTCTTGTCAAAACGCCAGCACAAACATAACTAGAACCACTATAGTCGTAGGTAATACTCAGCAATATATGAAAATTTAGCGCGGTGATCGAATGCTTCAACGTAGCAATGGTTCTATTCTGTCTACGGAGAAGCATGGGCCGTATCAAGCAGCACCACGGAATCCTCCTGTTCTGATATAGTTTTAGCCTGGATGGCTGAACATATATCCTCTGTGATGGCTCAATCCTGAATCACGATATGGACTTCATCCAACCCACGTCGAAGCCATGGCTGATGCTAGGAACAGTCTGACCAGCCCGACGAGACGGAGTGGTGCGCAATCTGAGGAACACGAATTGAATACGTTGCAGAGGGACACAACTCGGGTTGATCCGTTATCCAATGCCGGTATTTCCAGTCTCGCATCAAGAGAAACCCACGAACCTCAACCACGAACTTGGGGGCATCTGTTCTCATGGGCCTTTCATCATGTACCCCTCCGCGCCGCGCGGGACCACCTTGCCAACGAACGGGTTTTCCTTGGATATATCCGAACGTCTTCAGCACTCGCCAACTTCGCCATCACAATTCTCCAGCTTTACCGATTAAAGCACGATCCAGTCCCCGCAGGCAAGCTGAGCGACTACGATCTGGGTATCCCACTCGCAGTGGTGACGCTAGTCATCGGAATCGCCGTAACCCTGGCAGGGGCATGGAGGTTCTTCGCCTGCCAACATGCCATGGCTCAGAAAAAGCAGATCGTCACGAGTGGATTGGTGGTGCTCGTATTCATCCCGGCCGTGGCTCTGGTAAGTTCACCATCGTCTGTTTCGAGGGCGTTTGGGCCATGTCTCTAAACGCGTCCGGCAGTTGCTCCTTAGCCTGCTGATCCTGGCCATCATTGTCAACCCCAACATGTGAAACAAATTGCGGAAATACCTCCCAGTGTGGCAACACGGAGACTGTCATTGCTTAGGAGACACTTCCAAAAGTGGCGGCATGAGTACATCTATGCTCATGCCACCATTTGCCGAGGTCCTTTTCGCCAACTGAGTAAGGCATTGCTAGAAGGCATATGTCAATCGATAATCCACTGGTCTGATCTCTGATTCTATCAGAGCAGGTTACAGAATGTTGACTCCCTTTTCTGAGAAATGGGAAGGCTTTGATGCGGCAAGGCTCTGATGGAGCCTTGTCTGAACAAACTCCCCATTCTGGGATTAGCGCTTGGGAACTCTTGGCACGGTGCACAACCGAAATTCAATCAACCTGCACCCGCATCACAGCCAGAATTTGTCTGCACACCCAACAAAAGACAAACCTCACATTGTCGACATCCTTATCTACAACGAGGTATGTGAACGCTGTGGCCCTACTTCAGCTAGCCTAGGATGAGCAATCCGACTGCAGGTCCTGGATTGTAGCATTTCCAAAGTCACCGCAGTTCTGGACACGCTCCATCCTTCGCGACACGAGCTGAAGAACCCTTGACTGGGCACTCTTCTGGCTCGAAGGCTTCTGAAGACTAACATATTTCCTCACTTGCAGATACCTCAAGTTCCTCGCACTCCAAACGAACTTGAGAATCTCACTCGTGCCAAACCACCGCCAAAATGGTCAAGACATCCGTCCTCAATGACGCTCTTAAGAGCATCAACAATGCCGAGAAGGCCGGCAAGCGCCAGGTCATGATCCGACCCAGCTCCAAGGTCATCATCAAGTTCCTGTCTGTCATGCAGAAGCACGGTACGTCTTCGTCCTACGCTTCCTATTTTGTTGAAAAGAGGAGGATTTTGGCATACCACACATTCTTGAAAATTTTGTCGGGTTGATAACTAGGCGGCGGTTTCAAATTATTGCACCCCACGACCTTTGCCCTTTAAGTGCCCGAAAGATTGACTCTTCTCTTGCGACTGAGTCTTACACATTTGCTTGCTCGTTTTGTCCATGTTTGTTTAATGTTTATTCGGTCGCAACATCACAAGTCACATCTCAAGCGTCGACTAACGACATGATGTTCTTGACAGGCTACATCGGCGAATTCGAAGAGGTCGACGACCACCGCAGCGGCAAAGTCGTTATCCAACTCAATGGCCGTCTCAACAAGACCGGAGTCATCTCCCCTCGATACAACGTCCAACTCCGTGACCTCGAGAAGTGGGTTGTGAAGCTGCTGCCATCCCGTCAGTTCGGCTACATTGTTCTCACTACCAGCGCGGGTATCATGGACCACGAAGAGGCCCGACGGAAGCATGTCTCTGGAAAGATCATCGGCTTCTTCTACTAGATGGCTATGGATTGAAACGTTTCTGCATGTGGCACGCACGAGCGAGGGAATTGAGATACCCAGAAAAGTCTTGTTCAGCTTCAGATCCTGGTTTCGCGGAGAAGTCAGATTATTTGCAGCTAGATCTAGGGGATTATCCTCCTGAATGAACTAAACTCGTTTCAAACCATGAATCTGTACCTCGTAATCCCAAAGAGTTGTCGACGTAAAATCGGTGCTCTCCTAATGAAGGATTTTTGGACCTCCAACAGTGCCAAGACCTTTGCCCTAGATGCCACATCGGGAGCCTGCGGGGCGCAATAAGTCTCTCCATTACTCAAAGACCAGAACTTGCACTCCTCAACCACTTCGTCCAACAAACCATCAAACACCGCAAAAATGGTATGCGCATCCTCCCAAATTCGCGACTGATCAATTTGGAATGCATTACTGACCTGATCAGGCGCCCGCAGCATCCTCCGGCGGCAAGAAGCAGAAGAAGAAGTGGTCCAAGGGAAAGGGTACGTTTTCGATCAACATTTTCACCCATATTCTCTCTGAATCTCCAGCCATCGGCATCATAACATCCCACGTAGTCACGTCGTCCTAACAAGCTTGCTGACGTTTACTCTTCTATTTTCCGTGTATAGTCAAGGACAAGGCCAACCACGCTGTTGTCCTCGACAAAGCCACCTCCGACAAGCTCAACAAGGACGTCCAATCGTACCGCCTCATCACCGTCGCCGTGCTGGTCGACCGATTGAAGATCAATGGCTCGCTCGCAAGAAAGGCGCTCGCAGATCTCGAGGAGAGGGGCGTGATCAGGAAAGTTGTCGCACACAGCACTGGCAGCATCTACACGAGAGCGGCTGCCGGTGGCGATTAGACGTGAGGGACAGTGAGAGGAGTGTGGATGGACCCCAAGAACGAAGGCGGGAGCTACAGTGCAGACTCGATCGATGGGACGCTGTCCGCCGAGAAATGATGTTGATGATATTGCATGGACCAGGGACCGGAATGCCAGGTCAATTGACCGGGCAGAGGAATCACATTGCAAAAAGGAAATCGCACATGTCCACCAACAGCTGGATGAGAACGAATACCATTGTCACCATCAATAACTGGCGCTTGCACAATTGTGTCTCCAAAGTGGTCTCCTAGGCGTATGTGGTGAACTGGATCGCTCGCAGCTACAATCCTGGCAAACAGCAGACGAACGCGAATAAACCCACAACTCCCAAAGTGACCACGATCCCGCTTATGCCCTTCACATGATCTATCCTTGCCGTGTCTTTCGTGTCCGTAGAATCGCTCTATTGTACAGGTTTTCCTGGTGCGTCCTTTTTCTTTTCCTTTTTCGAGTTCATGTTCTTCCTCTTGGGCCTCCCCTTGTCTGCTGGCTCGCACAGCTTCGGTGGTTCGTCTGTATACTCGGGGACGCCGACCAACTTTCCAACTTCAAAGTATTTCTTGTGATTCCTGTAAAACCCCTCCCATCTTCTGACTTCGTCCAGAACTTTCTTTCTGGCTTCTCGTCGTTCTTTCTCTGCGCGAAGTTTCCTTGCGGCACTCGATATGTCCTCGTCTGGGTCGTCTTCGATGGGAATGTAAATCAACTCTGCACCCCTCAAGTCCCCGGTTCGATCTTCGAGAAAGCATCCAGTCACAAAGGCCCGTGTAGCGTCCCTCCCGGCAAACACTTCATAACTCCCACCTGGTCCGTACGTGTGCTTGCCCGCAGTAACATCAAAGACTGTCCCATTAATGGCCAGATAAATAGGCTTCGCAGGGTCACTGCCATCATAGACTGCCAACTGTTCCGGTGTGAGGACAATCGGGCCCGTCCACCATTGGGACAACTTGGACGGGTTCAAGAACCACGGTTCGTATTTGTAGAGCAGGGAGGTTCCAGAAGTGAGGTAGTATGAGAGCAGACAGGAGGCAAAGGCCAATGTGAGAATGACTCGCAAAATATCGAGAGGAGAGATGACACGAGAGGTTGTGTCTTCAGGCTCATCTGACGTTGTTGTCGAGGCGGCTGCGGACTTTGTTGCTGCAGGCTGAGCTCGAGGTGGCCGCCGTCGGGTGGCCGAGGTATCAGTCATTATACAGTATCACGGGAGGGCTCTTAGCAATAATCTCTTGATAGAAGTCTCGTCGTCCCAAGAATTCCTCCATTACTGAGTCGAACAGTTCGATCGGAACACCAGATCGCCCTACTGCAGTAAGTGAGCCCGTGTGGGGAAACAGTGGGCTGGGGACAAGATGCCGCTTCCAGCCACGCGGATTCATTGAATCGAGGCGCTCAGCTCACCAAAACACCTTGCCTATTTTTCTCTTCTTCCTCCTCCATGTCAACTTTTTTCCAGTTTACCCATGCGAGAGTCACGAATACAGCATCTTGTGATGCCGGATCTTACACTCTCTTGAAACTTCCCCTGAGTCGCCGCATCAACATACGAGCGAGCCTCGGCTGAAGAAAAGTAAACAAAAGCCAGATTCCATCATTCCACCCAACCACCCGGCCTCTCAGAACTTGACGTTGTCGCAATCCTCGGTCGCACCCAAACCCTCTCCCTTCTCCAGGCACACTCGATCTCTTAGCCCCCAAGTGACATCCCCGCGCAGCCATGTCCTACTCGTACACGGTGACGGAGCGCAAACGGAAGACGACCACTTCTGGAGGGTACGGATACTCGGGCAGCAGGTCGACATTTGGGTATTGGGTTCCTCTTGTACTCACTGTGACAGCAGCGACCATTGGCGTTGCTGCCTGGGTCTGGGGCGAGAGAAAAGATGATGAGGAATCGAGCGAAGATGAACAATATCAGGGAGGGCCGCCTCCTCCTGGCTATGCATCGATGAGCGGTGCTCTACCAACCGGACCACCGATGGCGGCTGGTTTTCAAGGAGGACCTCCTCCTCCAGGTGGCGCTCCCATGCCAATGACACCTGGTCCACAACAGCCTGGAGGATTCGGGCCCCCTCCTGATGGTTTCCAAGGGCCTCCGCCACCAGGCGAGTTTCAAGGACCTCCTCCTGGAGGCTTTCAAGGCGGCCCACCGCCTCCAGGATGGCGTGGGACGGAAGAAGGATACCGCAATCTCTCAACTACGGTGGACGACCAGCAAGAGACCGGTCTCGTCGCCCGCATGTCCAGTGCGCTGGGCTTCGGCCGATCAACTACGCCGTTAGGCGATCGAACGCGAAGCCAGGGTCAATCTCAATCATATGACTGGGCCAACAAGCCATTCGCTTCCGCGACAGCCGCGGCGGGCGCGATGGTAGGTGCTGCTATAAGCACACTGAGTGGTGGAGGTGGCGAAGGTTACGAGGATCATGAACGATGGAGCGAGGAGGCCGAGCAGCGAGACAATGACCGGCAGATCAAACAAGGCATCCAAAGGCGCGGAACAGCCGACGAGTTCTTTTCCGGAAGTATTGAGCTCCCCAAGTCAGTATCTATTGCCAACCGGAAAAGGAAGACAGTGGCTGTAGTAGTATCAGCCGTTGCATTGGAAACGGGTACCGAGTCCGATGTTGAACAGCTCGCGGTAAGCTTATGTTTCCAGGTCTGCGATATGAGGATGCTAACGAGGCTTGTAGTCAATCCTTTCACATCTCCCGGAATACATCGATCCCGACACAACGCGGATTTTCGTCTTGATCTACGCACCAGAGCTAAAAGTACACCCACTCAGCCACGCCGCAACAAGGCCTTCGCAGTCTATGACATCTTCATTCTCGAACATTAGCCACGCAGATGCACAAACTCCCGCACAAACGCCAGGGGAGTTCCCGAGTGATGGCATACTGACCCAAGTCGATCCGAACCCGATGGACGAAGCAACCTCTCTCTTCAAGATCCTCTATAATCAGGCTGTTGGCATTGTTGACAGAGACACTATGGTGTTGCCTTACACCTCGCATAACGGCCACAAACATATCCTCCGCAGCCTTTCACCAGAGGTTGTGTATATCCAAGAGTCCCTCTGCGGTCGTGATGGCGAAATTGTCTCAGATCTATCTGGCTGGGTAAAGCAGACTGTCATTGTGATTGGTGACGAAGGTGGCCATGGTGGATTGATTGATACGGATGACGAATCTGTAACGAACAAGGCAACAGAAAAATGGTGGCAGAAAGAAGAGCGGACAGGGCTCGGGAAGAGGGTTGCTGTGGTGGAGAGTCTGAAAATTGGCGAGGATTGGGACAGACGAATCAATGAGAAAGATTGAAGCAGGTCGTGCAGAGAAGAATGATGATTGACGGCAGCGGTAATGTTGTGATGATGCTCATTTTCCTTTTTGGTGGATATGCGATCGTGTACCTCATACCTGACTGATTATGGTAGCGCATACTGGGGGTATTGAGGTGCTATATACGTCTTCCTCAATCATAGCGTTGCCTTATTCGCCTTTGAAGACTTCCTGCAACCTCTTCTCCAGCGGCCTCGAATCGATGAATACTTCCATACGGTAGCAGATCAGTCCTCCGTCTTCCTTCTCCCTAACGTAAAACGTCGCGAAGCCCGGAATTTCCACATCGTCCTTCCCACTCGGATCGTCGCCTTTGACGCGGTACCTGATCCGCGCGGCCTGGTAGATCCGCGGGGCCACATAGTCGAAGTACTCGATGTAGTGTTCCATCAGGTCCAGGCGGGCCAGTTGCGGTGGGAAGAAGTGGTCACGCACGTTTTCCAGGCCTTGGACGGGTGGGTGGTTGCCGAATTGCAGGACGATGTCGGACGAGAAGAAGTTGTTGCACCAGTGCGAGGCCGAGAGGGTCGCGGAGGCGGCGTGGTTCTGTGTGGGACGTCAATTAAGCATCTGTCCAACGAATAGCGAGGCGTGGTGATGTGACGTGTGAGGGTGTACATGGTGGAAGGAAGGGGAGGTGACGAGGCTGAAGAAAGGGGGGGAGGGATGCAATGAATGAACGGCCACGTACATCTTCGAGCCATTTCTGGATTCTCGCTCTGTCGGGGTCTTGTTTTGAAGCCATTTTCTTTTGCTGCACAGTAGATATGAATTCTTTGTACAGAGTAGTCTACACAGTGTCTCTTAAACCTGTGTGCCTGTCAGCCATTCTTCTTTATATACCATTCAATGCTGCTGTCCAAGACACCCACCGCCTGACCCACTCCCTCCTTTCATTTGTCAGCGACGAAGAGGTGAAAGACGAAAGACCCAGCCCAACTAAACTGAGCTGCGACCCTGTCCTCGTCCAGGTAGTGAGTACCTGTCAAGCTCCATCACGTCACTCAACAGCCGCATTCCCCCTGGTGCCCCAAGTCTTGGAGCTTTGTAATAAACAAGTAGTCCGTCTCAACAAATCAAACGAATGGACCAGTCACGGACGATGGCCCTGAGGAAGTCGCATAGTCGAACAGTGGGAACCAATGGCCCTCAGAGGTTTCTTTCGGTCGAAAAAAGGTCCGATCCCCACAGTTACAACACGACTCGAAGACTTTCGTACAATCTGGAACCTCGTACAACAGCGGATTCACGGGATTGGTCTTATGTGAAAGAACGTGTAAAGGTATGGTAGAAGCAGCTAGATCTATCGACTCTTGGGGCTTGAGCCAACACGTAGGGTAAGTCACGGAACCGCGGAAAACCACCCTCTGCACCACACGAAACAACTCACCATTACACATAATGCAGATATGGGGGGTAATTCGACATCCATACGGTCAGTTCCTTTCCTCCAATGAGCGATATTCCCATTTGTGTTGGCAAGAGATGTGTGCAAAGTAAAAGTGGATCCGCACCCAGGGCATTTCATGGCATCGGGCTGCACATTATTATATATATTTCAGAAACCGTGCATGACGAATTGTTTACAAAACCTCCAAGACCTAAGGGATGCAGGCTGTTTAGTGACGTGATGAAGCCTTGACAGTTACTCACTGCCTGGATAAGGACAGGCCCGGCGGTCAGATATTCAAGCAGCCAACAGATGATAACGGTGTACGTCCTCTGTGATCATTCCCCAAGGACCTCCTTCTCAGACACGTTCCATTGGGTGTCAGTGGCAGCGGTGGCGGACTTGTATACCACTCTCGCCGCCATTTGGACTTTCCGTGAGTCAGGGTCGAGCGCTTGGTAGAACAGCACGATGCTGGTGGTGGTGCCCGTGTTGGGTGCAATGCACGCGGCGATCGCACTCCGAGGTGCAACGTTGACGTCGTGGAAGAAGAGTTCAGGCAGCAGGAGGCCTTCCTTCGGGTCGATGCGAACTGCCTTCACTTGGCCAGAGTGGGACTTGTAGATAAGATGCAGGTGAATTCCATTGTCAACGGCTGTGAGGCTTGTGTGCGGTGAGAATGCCACCGGCTTTCCGTCGCAATCATAGCCTGCCAGTGGGAGAGGTTCTATGGTATTGAAAATCAGAAGCAAAGAAGAACTGTGTGGCATGATATTCATACCTGCTGTGCCCTGTCCACTGCCCAAGGCGTGGCTGTCCAGTTGGAGATAGTATATTGGCTGTCCTTGGTTCGACTTATCTGAACCACTCCGGCCGAGGATACCTGCGCGAGGAGGCACTGCACTGAGGGAGGTGCCGTAGAGTGGCGGGTCTCTGAGGTTAGCGCCGCCATGCTGCCAGGTCCTATGGATGCCGGCAAAGCTGACCATCTTTACAGCTCCGTCCCGGGTGAGGGCTTGGTAGAATACACACATGTGGTTGACAACGTCTCCTCTGATAGTGACGGCTGCTAAGCTTGAGTAGTGAGCACATTCGATCTTCAACTCAGCCAGTTTTCCATGCTGGTAGTCGCCGTTCCCAAGGTCGTACTGGTCATGGAGAATGTTCTTGTCGTCCAGATAAAAGACGTACTAGTTTCCCGTCAGCTCCCCTGATGGCGGAAAAATGGTGCAAAGTTGTCTACCCGTTCACTCATAGGCTTGTTGAGCTGATCGGTGAAAGATACAGCAGCGATGGGAGTGAATAGCTTGGGAGCGTCAGGTTTAGGATTCATGCCTTTCAGACGCTCTATGATGACGTTTGACTTCTTCCTTGAGCCATAAAACACTGACGAATTCTCGACGTTGCCCACGAACTGGTAAATATCACCCTCATAGGTTTGTACAAATGCAAAGATATCATTCCCCATCACCATGGAAGTGATGCCGGAGTCTGGCAGAAGCTTGAGAGAAGCCATGGCTGGACCTGCTTGTGAGAGGATGTCGATGACTGCGTCTCAGACTCTGGGGAGCAAGGGCGCCGGGTGGATGGACTCTGAAAAGCAAGAGAGAGTCAGGGATAATGAGCTCCTTCCTGGTCGGTAGGAATTCTCTACGGGTGGCCACGAACCCGTTTTTCAGCACGCCACAACTCTCGGACTATCTACACGTCGTATACGATTATCAATCATCCACTCGTATTTAGGTAGCAATGGAAACAGAGTTGGCATCAGACAGGCCTGTAAGTGCAGGCAGCGTTGCGCACGTCGCTGAAAATGTGTTGACACTACGTCAACCGGGGAGCTGTTTCGCTTGCGATTCGTTGCCTTCACGAAACCGGTATTGCAAAGCATATCCGAAAGAACCCTGTCGATGAGACAGATCCCCTGCTTTGCTTCTCATCCCTCTCAGCTCAGATATGTAGGCCTGTCGACAACAGAAAAGAAAACCAATAGTTGTTTCAGGGCTCGTCCCGCGCAAGCTCCCGCACCGGCCCCTCATGCTAGCCAAATTTATACGATGCGAGCAACTAGCCAATATAAATGCCAGGTAGGACGCCCGAGGCTTGCGTGCGCCCGAATCGAGAGCCGCCCATCTCTGTTGGGAGACATAACGGTCCAGTTGCATGGCTGACGAACACCAATCTCTTGCTGGAGATATGTGCTCGGTCAGACTTTATTCTCCGCGACGCATAGAGTGAGGCGGACAAACCATGAGATTCACTTTGCTGAGATGCATGCTTAGCGCTGCATGTCGTGTATGTTCATTCTACCCTCTCATCACACACCACGTCGTGGGCTTTGCGAGGAAAATTCTTCGAAATACGAGCCTCGTCCCGCTTAGATAAAGCCTTTGCGAGCAGGGCCCCCGGCATAATGAATCCGAACAGTCCGCAATTACAAACTCCTATTACAGCATAATTTAACCCTGAAAGCTGGAGGATGCGAGCTCATCCTCTGCCTCATCCCGTTTAAACGGCATTGACCGAGTTCACTACAGCTTGGATTATCTCTATTCCCTGCCTGAAAAATCACTTGCTCAAGTCTGCTCACTTGCAATCAACAATGTCGAGCATTAACCCCAATATTCTCCCGACAGTCACATATTCCGACCAGGATATAGAGGCTGCCATCAAAATTTTCAAAGCGAAGAAAATTCCCGTATACGAACCCGGAGAAGAAGATTACGAACGTTATATTGCGACGTCTAATCTCATTTATCGCTTCTCCACCCCCCCTTGCGTTGTTCAACCCAAGTGTGCTTGTGATGTTCGGGACGTCATTAGGATCGCAAAACCAAAGAAGATCCCCATCACCATCAAGAATGGTGGCCACTCTTATGCAGGAGGCTCCACTACCAACATCGGGATCTTAATGGAACTTGGGCTGATGAACGACGTGATCCTCGACATGAAGCCGGGGGCGGAAACTGCGATTGTGAAAGGCGGCGCATTGTGGTTTAATGTGTACAAGAAACTGACCAGCAAGCGTGTTGATGGAAAGCACCTTGATGGCTGGGTCGTCAACGGCGGACGCTGTCCTACGGTAGGTGTGAGTGGCTTCATGTTGGGGGGCGGTCTCTCTCCGTTCACCCGAAGTTTCGGGATGGGCTGCGACACCGTGAAAGAGTTTACCATCGTTACAGCGACGGGAGATGAGGTGACTGTTTCGGAGCACACCGGAAACAAAGATAAGGATAACCTATTCTGGGCCCTTCGCGGCGCTGGCGGTGGGAACTTTGGTGTGGTTGTGGAGATGAAGTTGGCTATGAAACGGCTGAAGAGTGATCTTGTCGGTGCGGGGCGATACACCTGGTATCCGGAGACTGATGACAAGACGATGAAGGGATTCATTACCACGATGAACAGCTTCTATACCTGGAACTGGCCGAACGAAATGACCATTGACAGCTCCTGGCTATGTGATCTCAAGGAGACTAAGAGTGAGCTTGGAGTTCGCTTCCTGGTCTATTACAACGGCGGCCGGGCAGCCTTTAATCAAGCAATCGATGCCTGGACTCTGTCGGACGCTCCAATCCAACACAGAAAGCTAAAGGCGCAACTCAAAACGCGATCGTTGCAGGAGCCATCTTCACGCTTTCTTCACGAGACTCTCGCGGCACAGTGGGTCGAGGAGACCAAAAAAGCCCTACCCACCACCAAGGTATATCAGATTTATACTTCGTTCGTGTTTGAGAACCATATCGAGAAAATCGAAAAAATCACTCGCGTTATTAGAGAGGAGATGACAAGCTTCAAAAAGCACTTCGCCAATGAAACGGGCTTGATGCAAGTCACCTTTATTCATTCCGGCGGAGCGGCAAACTCGAAGAAACGTCACGATATGGCTTACCGCTGGCGTGGATCCGTTTATCACACATACATAATGCTCCAGTGGGATGAAAAATGGCTGGAGGAGCCCATGAGGCGCTTTCTGGGCGAAATGAAGCCAAAACTGAGTGATTTTGGCATGGTCAAATGGGCAACCTTCATCAATTTCCCCGACGACACCCTGAAGCCAGAGGTCCATGAACAGGCGTACTACGGGAGAAATCGCCAGAAGCTGCGGTCTGTCAAGCAACGATGGGACCCTGATAACTTTTTCAAGTGGTCGCAGGGCATTCAGCTGAATGGGGAGGCGAAAGAGAAAAGCCTCACGACAAGCCTACCGAAGGCTCCATCCACCGACGAAGAAACACACAGTGACCTCAGGCATGACCAGGTCCTCACAAAAGAGGAGGCGTTGACCGATCTGATAGCATTACACCAGTGGAGGTCTTATCGCCCTCAGGCCGAGACCGACTACTACGGAAACGAAGCTTTACCGGCCTTGGTCTACTGATGAATGGGATTTCAATGCTCTGCTAAGTAGCCTGACCGGATTACAAATGCCTACTTGGATCTAACAACGATTTCTTCTAGTCGAGGCTGGTAGTGACACATTGGGTCTTTCTTTTCCTGTCTTTCTTTGGAACAGATTGTCACAACTCTACTTATCTTTGCTTATCTTGTGAAGGATTGCTGCCATCACTGTTTGATGCAGTCATTTCTTTTGCCTAAAAATCTTCATCTTCTTCGTTTCCAGTTATGATAACGACCTGATGTTGTAATTCAGTGTATTTCATATCCAAAACCCCAACTACTCTCTAAGTGTCGCGCTCCTATAATGAAAAAAATGGTCGTTACATTTTAACCCACGTAGATCAATGCTTCTGTTGACAATACCGCCAATCTTGTTTGACTATAGCCTCCATTGATGAAGAATCTTGCATGATACATGGGCCCAGCGATCAGCAAAAGACGTTAATATAGACTATGACTCGACCGTCTGCTGAGAAATTTCTAGTGTTTTCGGGTCCCTCACTTTGAGTACGACATCCAATCCGGACTGGACCACCAGCCATCCTGGCTTCGCTTTGTAACGATGGCGGTCTACCAATTCCACTTCAAAGTGTCGAAACACCTCGGGCACCAGCTTTGATATCTCGAGCATGGCGACGTGGCGTCCGATACCTGCTTTGGGATCAGAGAATACTCGAGTCGAAGAACCACAAAGGTCGGCCACTTACAAGTCCGAGAGCCTGCGCCAAAAGCGAAGTTGTATCTCTCCAGCATCTTGACCTTTTCCTCGTCATCGTCCAACCATCTCTCTGGTATCCACAGGTCGGCGTCCTCGCCATATACGTCTTTATCCCGATGGACCGTCCATGCGTTACATCCCACTTCGGTGCCACCGGGAATGAAGACACCGCAGATAGTGGCGCCTTGAACAGGCACCACACGAGGCAAGACCATGCCCAGTGCCGGGTGCATTCGCAAGGATTCCTTGATGCAGGCTTGGAGGAATGGCATCTGCCGCGCCTCGGCCCATGAGAAGTGGTCCTCAAAGCTGCGGTCCCTTGGTCGCTTTGCCAGTATCTGCCTGATTTCGCCCATGACCCTCTCAAGTCTGGGTTGATCCGTCAAGAGGTAGAAGAAGACGGCGCGGAGGATAATCGCCGTGGTATCAGAGCCAGCGCTGACATTCGTGACGGCAAAGTCGATCAGTTGGGGGTCGGTCATAACGTCGGGATACTTCTCCTGAGCCATTCGAAAGCGTGTCACAAAGTCCGGTTTACTGTGTTCCTCGGACCGGGTTTTGTGCTCATGAATGTGCTTGGTGGTAAACCTGACAATGGCATTGGGCTTGACCAACAGTCGCGCAAAGGGGTTGTTGAGTCGGAACCATCTATCGAGCGACGGCAACTGTCCCATCGTGCCGAGGTATTCCATATGCTGAGCAGTGTGATGGAGCATGTTTTCCAAATCATGCCCGGCTTCCAGGAAGCCAAAGCGCTTGCTGAATGTGATCTCACCCAGAACGTCAAAGGCGTACATCTGGAGCCAGGTTGCGAAGTCGCAAACTGTGCCGGTCCGCGCGAATCGTTCCGTCAACTCGTCAAAGAAGACATTCGTGGTAGAGTCCATGAGATATTCATAGTCGATGACCGTGCTCATGGAATAGGCATTGTTTACCGGTCTCCTCAAACGTGCGTGGAGTTTCTCATCTCGCGTCGAAGAGAGGTTGGGCATCACTTCCCCCCAAATGCTCGTGAAGCTATGCGTCACATAAGCCTCCCCCTGTATCATTGTTCAGCGTATTCAAGCTTCCGTCTCAGTCGTCGTAACTAATACACTGGGAGACGGCCCACCTTGTTGAAGATCGGATTCAACCCATAGATCTTGGTCACTTCTGTGGCATCCGAGACGGAGATCTGGTTCGGCCCGACACGCAGCAGCTTCGAGTTGTACTTCCTGTGCAGTTGGTAGTCGTCGATGCATTTGCCAGCCTTGCCGTGGAAATATCTCCACAGGTCGGTCACGCCGGCCAACGCTGGGCCGGGGACAAATGAAAGCTTCGAGTAGTTGTGGACAAGTCTCGCAATGCATAGGAGACACAAGATGGCCCACCACCAGTGTTGGAGTGTTTGTGTGAGGACAAGTGCCAATCCCATTGTTGTAGTAGGTCAGCACCGCAGAGTTGATGCATCACAGAGCCATCGAAGCTCGTGAGAAGTCAAACAATTTTCTGTTCTTAACATCCCCTAGACTCTGTGTAGGATCGGAGCTCCGTCCACGGCGGAGATACAATGCCTCTCGTTATCTATACCGAAATACCAGCTGGCTGGTACCGGGTACCTTTGTCCGGATTGAAAATTCAAAACTTTGTCTAAAAATCTGATTTCAAGCATAAGCATAGCATGGCATTTCCACTGCCGGCAGGTCTTGATGGAACATTTGTCGAATTTGATTCGTTCAGCAGGTTTCATGACACTCTTTACGTGTTGTTCTGACTCTCATGGAGTCTGCGCATCCATGTCAAATGACTCTACTCGGCCTTCCTAATTAGAAATGTTGTTATCCACATTAAATACAATCTCCGTGGATTTTGCAAAAGACCAGTATGCATTGACAGTAATTCGACAGATGGCGAAGACTATGCCGCCCCCTTCCTTCGGAGCTATTTTTTTTGTGACGAGATAACTTCATATCAGACACCTTTGCTTCAGCTTGAAGCATTAAACTGGCCTACACATTCGCAATTCACAGGAATAGCGCAAAGCTATAGCTTCGTTGTCAGTTCTTCTTTCTCACTCCTGTCTACTTTGCGAGACCAGCAGTCCCAACAACGATTATGACGACATTTCAAGAGGTCAACGGCACGGCCGTATACAGTGACCTCAAGGGCAAGGTTTTCGTCATTACAGGTGCAGCCTCGGGCATGGGCCGGACAACGGCTCTGATGCTTGCTCAACAAGGTGCCCATGTTGGTCTTCTGGACCTGCGGAAGCCCGACGCCGTCCTCGCCGAGGTCGAAAAGCTGGGCGGAAAGGGCGTTTCGATTGAATGCAACGTCCAAAAGGCCGACGTTGTCGATGCCGCGGTCAAGGAGGTAGCAGAGCGCTTCGGCAGACTGGACGGCGCCGCGAACATGGCTGGCTACGTCGGTCACCAGGGGTTTTTTGGAAAGGGATACGCTCTCGATGTGCTCAAAGACAATGACTGGGACGATATGCTGGCGACCAACTTGAACGGCGTCAAGAACTGCGTGCGGGCAGAGCTGAATAACATGAAGGGCCATGGGTCCATTGTGAATGCGGCCAGCATTGCAGGCCAATATGGCCCCGAGTTCAATGCACCATACTCTGTGGCCAAATGGGGGGTCATTGGTCTTACCAAGTGTCTCGCACGCGAGGTCGGTCCAAGAGGTATTCGAGCAAATGCCCTTGCCCCGTGAGTATCTCCGTGACTTTGCCTTCGCGGTTGTGGTGGTGAAACTGGCTAACAAAAATATCAGAGGTATCATCCGCACAGCTCTTGCAGATCAGCTAGGAAATCCCGACCAAGTGAATGAGGTCTTGGTGAAAAAGACGGCTCTCAAACGTATAGGTGAACCTGAAGAGGTGTCGAGGGTGATTTTGTTCCTGTTCAGTGATCAATCAGCATACATCTCTGGAAGCGTAAGTCCTCCTTTGGTGATCTCTCCCTCGCTGCGGCCTCACAGTGCTCGACATTCCACTCTAACTAGGTGCTGACAGGTCATTAATGTTGACGCGGCGATTGAAAAAGGCTGTTAACTGTCGAACGTGGGCAGCTGTTCTTGACATTGGGAGCAAATGGACGCGGGTCCGCAATTTCAAGCCTCGCAAAATGTATCAGACAGAGCATACACCGTAGTAGCTAAGCAGCAAATATAACCAATAAAGTCTCATCGAGATATGTGGAGATACTTTCCACGGGTCCAACCACAGGTCTGTACACGTACTAAAATGCTGCTAGTCTACATACTATGGCTCGCGTCCCCCAGCCCCCCCCCCCCTTTTCCTTTGGAGTCGAGACCACCGGCCGGCTTCTCCTTTTTGAAGGATTCCCCGGATTTCACTTCTCCGGCCACCGCCACATCCATGGCTCCGCATCAAAAGTACCCACAGTGACTCTGGGGTTTCCTAGTACCCCGTACTTGCCAACGTTAGCATCGGCGTCACATAAGAATAAATGGCCCACCTCTGGGACGGGCCTCGTGGGAAGCAGGCAAATTCGTGCCCTGTACTTCTATTATACGGATCTCCATAGTACAAAAAACAAACAAACAAACAGCTTCTTTGAAGGACAGGAAAAGGCTCTCGCACATCCGCCATAATGCACGAAATCAACGAAAAGGGCCACGTTAGGGTCAAGACCGTCTTGATGGTTTTGACCATGTCCATGGCTTCGGCGTCCATGGGCATGACAGCCTCGGTGATCAGCACGACATTGGGACAACCATCATTCATTGTCAAGATGGGCCTGGACGGTCCAAACGGCGCCTCTTTGACCGGTGCCGTCACCAGCTTGTACTATGTTGGAGCGACCTGGGGCGCTTTCGTGCACGGCTGGTTTGCAAATCGATATGGGCGCAAGCCATCGATCATATTCGCCATCTGCGTGACTCTTGTTTCGCAGGCACTGCTCACGGGAGCTGCGAATGTGGCAATGTTTATTGTGTTTCGCTTCTTTTTGGGCTGGGGGTATGTCTTCGTGCTCCCTTTTCCACGTTGCTACACTACAAAAGACTGACGCTGTTGGGATCAGTGGCTTTCAAGCGATATGCGGCGTTCCTCTCTGGATCAGCGAAATTGTCCCACCACGGCATCGTGGCAAACTCTCGGATATTCACGCCGTCATGATCAATGTTGGCTATTCCATCATCGGGTTTGTCGGGGTTGGCTTTTACTACTACGACTCACCCGACGCCTGGCGTGCTCCGCTTGGTATCGCCATGGTTCCTGAGATCATCTTCCTAGCCGGCTGCTGGTGGCTCCCCGAGAGCCCGCGATATCTCATCGCCCGAAACCAGTCTGCGAAAGCGTGGAAGATCCTGCGTGCCCTTCACGCGGACCCGAGCGACCCGACCGATGAATTTGCCAAACGCGAATTCTACCAGATTCACGAGCAGATACGGTTTGATCAAAGTCAAGACACCAGTTGGAAATTGATCTTGACGCGGCCGTCGTATCGGAAACGCGCGTTGATCTCTGCAATGCTCAGTTTTTCCATCATGAGCGCGGGCCTCATCGTGATTCAGAGTAGGTTGCCCCTCAATTCTGTCCAGACCTGGTGGGATTATAACTGACTATTGGGCCTTTAAATCAGACTACGGTGTCACCCTGTATTCTGAACTGGGCTACACGGGCGTGGATACTTTGCTACTGCAATCAGGCTATACCCTGACGTTGTGCGTTGCCAGCATGATCGCCATCACCTTCGTCGACAAGGTCTCGCGCCGTAACTTGATGGGGACAGGCTTCGCCCTCCAGTGCATCTGCCTCATCATCTACACTGCCCTCGTCGCCAACTTCCTGACCGGGTCCAACAAGTCCGCACAGGCGGCCGCCGTGGCGTTCATCTACCTGTTCGGATGCAGCTTCGAGCTGTGCCTCGACGGGCCCGAGTTTTTCTACATCCAGGAAATCTGGCCGAGCCACCTCCGCGCACAGGGCGGCGCCATCGCCTTCATGGTCTACAACGCCATCAACATCTGCTGGTTGCAGGCTGCGCCCACGGCATTTGAAAGCATCGGCTGGAAATTCTTCCTCGTCTTCATCATCTTCGCCGCCCTCGGCTCCATCAGCGTCTTTGTCTTCTTCCCCGACACGCTGCACAAGCCCATGGAGGAAATCGCAGACATGTTTGGCGACCCGGACTTGGTCGTTGTCCATCAAACCGCCATCACGAGCGAGTTGGTGGAGGCGCGGTTCTTGGAAATGCTGGGTGATGGAACGGACGATCCGCACACAACGTCTATTTCAGTGCAGGAGACCAAGGGCGACGGCGACGGGCCAGCAGTGCACTCTGAGAAGGCCTCTGTGTAGACAAAGCTAGCGGTAGAGACGTGGATCTTGCGGACGAGAGAGAGTGAGGCTAGCGATTCACAATGGGATTGGAGAGACAAAACTTGGAGGTCGAGGAAGTGTGGACGAGGCTGCGATGGGAAATTTACAATTGATACATACTGCTCAATATTTGCCTCCCACATAACAAGCATGTCATCAGCTTTACTAGAATGAGATTCCCTATCTCTTATTGGACCTCACGGGCTGAAACGATTCCAGAATACATTTGTCCCATTCGAACTGTCTTCTCCGAATAGACCTACAAGGATTGAACGAAGAGCCTTTGAGCTGCGCAACCTAACAGATCAGTTTTTCTCTTCGACGATCATTTCCCGCCCATTATGGACCGAGGTGTATTTTTCCACAAGACTCATGTTCTCGGAGAAGAATCTGTATCCTGTCCGTGGAGGTGCTTCCCCAGGGGTGATTCGGGAAAGCGAAGCCGGAGAGCAGGAAAGGAGAGACCGCAGCCATATGACCCACGTCTCGCTGAATGCAAAAGGGCAAATAACTCAGTGATGGCATAACCGGGTCTTTGGTTAAGAAGGGGTTTTCTTAGTGCTTGAATCTTTTCACAAGTCTTGACTTGGATCGTGTCGTTTTTTTTTTTTATAAAGAGCTACTTGGCGCCAGATTGTCTGTCCTCCATTCCCGAACACATTGACACATAAGGGGCACGAACGAACGCTACTTTCGTCGCTTAGAAGTGAGAAAAAAGGAGAGAAAAAAGATGGGTTCTATTTCGCCCGAACATGATTTTGAGGTCCTCGTGATCGGAGCAGGGATCTCAGGGATCTACATGCTATACAAACTACGCGAGCTCAACATCTCTGCCCGAGTCCTTGAAGCTGGCAGCGGCGTAGGCGGGACATGGTAAGAGACGAAGTGTCTTTCCTTTTAGGAGGGGCCTGGATTTTGTACCTAACTCCTCTTGAACAGGTATTGGAATCGATACCCCGGGGCACGGTTTGACTCTGAGAGCTGGACCTATGGCTATTCGTTCTCCAAAGACGTCTTGAAGGAGTGGGACTGGAAGGAACATTTCGCTCCTCAAGCCGAGACGGAAAGCTATCTCAATTTCGTGGTCGACAAATTCAAGCTTCGCGACGGCATCCAGTTCCAGAGTCGCGTTCGCTCGGCACACTACGACCAGGCGCGTAACCAGTGGAAAGTGACGACCGAGTCGGGGGAAGTGTTCAGCGCGCACTTTCTCGTCACGGCCATCGGCGCCCTGACCAACCCGGTCCTGCCACGGATCCCGGGCATTCCCAACTTCAAGGGGGCTTGGAGCCACACAGGTCTCTGGCCCAAGGAAGGGATCGACTATGCGGGAAAACGGGTTGCGGTGATAGGGACAGGTGCCACCGGCATACAGACCATCCAAGAGGTGGCCAAGTCGGCGGGCACTTTGACCGTCTTCCAGCGCCGACCGAATTGGTGCTCGCCGCTGGGCAACCGAAAGATCGACGCCGAAGAAATGGAGAGCATTCGAGCGCGCTACGACGAGATCTTCTCCATCTGTAAAACGACGCCGGGATGCTTCATCCACCAATTTGATTCCCGCAGTGTCTTTGACGTCTCGCCAGAGGAGCGGGAAGCGTTCTGGGAGAAGCACTACCATGAGCCTGGCTTTGGTCTGTGGATGGGCAACTTCCGCGACGTCTACACGGATAAAAAGGCCAATGCTCTCCTGAGCGAATTTGTCGCAAAGAAGATCAGGGAGCGCGTCAAAGACCCCAAGGTGGCCGATAAACTTATTCCCAAGGACCACGGGTTCGGCACCCGCAGGGTCCCGCTCGAAACGCGATACCTCGAAGTATACAATCAGGAGAACGTCGAGTTGGTGGATCTGAATGAGGAGCCCATCGAGCGCATCACGGAGAAGGGGATCCAAACGTCGAAACAAGAGCGAGAATTCGACGTCATCATCTACGGTAAGGCCATTCATTCATTGTGCATTCTCTTGTCTAGGAATTGGATTGTGTATCATCCCGAATTTGGCGGGCTCTTGCTGATCGTGTGTCTTTTGAAATATAGCTACTGGATTCGACCCTGTGACCGGAAGCTTTAATGCCATTGATATTGTCGGCGTTGACGGGCAGCGGCTGAAGGAATTATGGGCTCCGGGACCAAAGACGCAACTGGGGTTCTTGGTCTCAGGGTTCCCGAATATGCTGATGGCCATGGGTCCGCACTCGGCTCTTGGGAATTTCCCACGCAGCATCGAATACAGCGTCGAATGGATCGCGGATCTCCTTGGATATGCGCGCGACAATGGCGTCTCCGTGATCGAGGCAACGGAACAAGGCCAGAAGGCATGGACGGAGCATGTCAGAACCTGCAGCGACGGGCTGTTGGTCAACGATGTCGATTCCTGGATCACGGGGGTCAACAGCAACGTTGACGGCAAGAAGACGCGGACCTTGGTCATCTACAACGGCAGTGCGGTGGACTACCGAGCTCGCTGTGACGAGGTGGCTAGAGAACGATACAAGGAATTGTCGCTGAAGCCTTGAGCGGCGCGCACTTTCCTCGCCTAGAAAGAATGCCAAACGTGTCAATCCCCTCTGTTCCCAAGACTCAAACCATGGTCATGACAAGTGCCATATATATATATATACCTAATGGCTAAGGCTGAACAGAAAGTCCCAACAATGGTACTCCCGGCTCTCCCGTCAAGTAAAGAAGAAAAGATTGGACTCTGGTTTGGGACGTTGGAATCAAGTGCTCGTATGACCATTGCACATGTCTCGGCCTTTATTGTTTTGACAATCACCCGCTGTTTCACGCCTTGGGAGAGTTTGGCCATGGGTCGACCGAGTTTAGCTTGGAGCCCGATGCAAATGGTCTCCTCCCATTTCGGACGAGCCTCTCCAGCGGCGTTTCGCTCTGGTTTCCTTGAACATCTGGTGCTGCCAGGCCCGTCTCAGCGAGGTGATGACTTCCAGTCCGTGTATGCTACTTCGGAAGGACTGGCCAATCTCGGCCAGCGCTTGAATGCAGACGACAAAGTTATGCTGCGCTGCTTTGCCCTTGGCTCCCGAGTAAATGCAACTGTCGTAAGCGTGCACAACCCCGGCCGTGACGGTCGACGCGACCGCCTGGACGTTGATGTATCGTAGTCCGTAATTGGCTTTGAACACCTGCAGCAGTTTACATATGATGCCGGCGGATTTGGTGCACATCTCTCCGGCGAGGATTTCCGAGTCTGATTCGTGCACAACGAACGGCCGATTGAGGATGATGAGGATCTGATGGTATAATATGCTTGGGGGCACAAAGATTAGCACTCTCTGTCTAAAGAATCCGTTTGCACACAGGTAGGTGACATCGTCTCACTGAAGCTGGAGCACAATCGGTGCTGGGACCGGAGAAGGCTGTTCTTCTCCGTAGTCGACGTGAAGCGCTGGAGGCAACGCCGCCAGCCACTGTTGGAGTTGTTTAGCCATGGCTGGAACGAAGAGCTTAGCGTCTTCCGAGACAGAAGCGCTGCCGCCGTATCTGGGAGGGGGAAAATCTTTAGCAAAAAAAAGGCACACGCAAAAGGCAGATGGTTTTTTTTTTCTTTTTGGAGGCTTACAGTGTTTCGTAGATCTTTCGCAGCTTGATTGCCAACTGCGCAACACATGCGGTGACGGAACCAATACCGGAAGCATCGAAAGCAGGTGGTAGCTTCATCGGCGCGCCGTCTGCATCAAATGGCTGCCAATCGCCGTCGTTCAACGCATCCAGACGAGGGGCATCATATCGCATCCTGCTCATCAAGTAAGGCCGCCCACTATACGTACTGTGATACCTAGTATCCCGCAAAGACGGTCAGAAGAGATTCTATCATCTCACGAAGGGGAAGCCTGTGCTCCTTTCCCACTTCAAAGCTGCTACATTGGTGTGGGGGAAACACTCACATGTCGGCAGAGTAGACAGTCCAAAAGAGACTTCTGCGCACGTCTTCAAGAGCTGGAGTGTTCTCCTCATTTCCAAGATAGTCGTCGTTGGTGCCGAGACGGAGATGCAGCCCGAGATCCGTGGTCATCTGGACGGCGACACCTGTGGCCCTGTCAATCCTGGAGCACGGTATATGGTATAGATTTTTTTTTCGTCATCGAACCTGAGTAAATCCAACCTAGGCATCGTCAGTCCCAATGTCTATAGCCTGGACTGCGTTACAAGGGGGCTAACCTCGAGAGTCACGGCCGTTGGCTGACTCAAAAGCCGACAAAATCACTGCTGCTTGTGTTGTGGCTATCGTCGGACGGTCCATTTCCGTCTCGAGGTATAACCGGGTCCTTGCGCCGAAAAAGTCGGAAGCGCTGTCCTGGATGGCAGGATGTCGTCGTGTCGAATACAATGCGCCGACCGCAAGACTAGGAGAGAAATTGTATCAGTGTCCGACCTCTATAAGGTGCTGCCCTGGACCTTACACTGCATTCTCGAGTGCGGGCGAGAATAGCGCGGTTTCAAAGCCCCGGTAGTACAGCTCCTTTTGCTCAAAATACGTCTCCTTGTTCGCCTCGCTGACGAAAGTGTTGTGCCACGCAAAATAGAGACGTGTCAGATGGAGCTCGTATTCCGGGTCTGGAGTCCAGCCCAAGTGCGCCCGTTTGACCACGATTTCGCTTTCCTCCCGGAAACTGTGCATATCTGGTCGGTAAATGGTTCTGAGGTCGTTGGGAAGCATCGACAAATGGCTCGTGGCGCCAAAGTATCGCATGTGTCCGTCTTCCGCAAGGCACATGCGACCAAGTCGTTTCGATATCTGCTGGGTGATGTCGTCCTCAGAGGTCTGCGATCTCTGGTCGAAACTGTTGGCATTCAGGTTAGCACCGCCTCCGGGGCTTTGACTCGGCGATCTCGACTTTGTTTTCTGGCTTGCGGCCGAAGTGACGGACGACATCCGTGACAGAGACTGTTCATGTCCCACGTTAACCAACACCGGTGATATAGATTCCACTCCGGCTCCGTATGCCGCGCCCATATTTGACGATTGCCCCAGGTCGGGAAATCCAGTCAGCTCTTCGTCCACCTGCTCCCAGAAGTCCAGATCCATGTCTCGGAACACGATCGGTGTCGAGGCAGAACAATCAGGAATTGTCGTGGTATAAGGGCCATTTACAGTCGCCGAAGGGTTTAGTTCTTGTCCTGCATCCATAAAATGGTCAATCAGCGCCTCTGACGGCGTGCTTCTGTCTATCACAGGAGCCTTTTCAGAAATGCTGTCGTCTTTTGAAGCCTGAGCCAAGCGTGCCTCAACTTCGGCCAGCCGGTCGGTGAGTTCATTGATGGTCTTTTTCGTCGATTGGGCTCTGTGAAGCAAACATCATGAGTTTGGTATTTTTCCCCTCCCGTATCGTTCTGAACCGACCTTCGTTTGTCGTCTCCAAGAACACAGTCCGTGTTATACAGTTGGCAATTTATGCATTTGGGATGCCCGTTATCGCACTTTAGCATCCCTTTAGCTTCTTGGGCCATTGGATTCCAGGAACACAATCGGGAGTCCAGAGAGGACTCGCTCACTCACCCTTATCTTCTTCTTGCGGCACTGCAAACAGGCTAGACGAGCGTGTCGTTTTTGGGAACCCTGGGCTCCATTCTCCATCTTTTTACATATCAAGGAGCCAGCCTCGCGCAATTGATGAGAAGCTTAGACTCTGGAGGTGACGTCGATTGGTTGTGGAAAGTAGTTTGATTGTCAATTGAACAATCAACCGCTGCATGGAAGGATGGTAAGAGGGTCTTTTGAGAAAGCAGGCTGGCAGGATGTTGCCATCAGGTGGATTTTGCGGGGTGCTTTCATGTGGTCCGTTGACCCAAGTTCCCCAGACTCCAAAGTTCAAGCGAAGCCCCCAGAAAGACGGTGCTAAGAGTACGGAGTACCTCTCGTACAGAGTTTTAAGTCTTACTTGGCAACTATAAGTAGCGGACTGGGCCAGCCATAGGCCGCTCCAAGGGCGGGCCCATTGGCTAGGCAGCTTTTTTGTGCTGGTGGCCTAAGGGCTGCACTACTTGAGATTGGGCGTCACCAGCTTTACTAGGCACGCCAGAGCAGCAGACATTTGCGTCCACCATCTATCTACAAAGGACTAACAGGTGCTTCTTGCTCCCACCCGATGCTTGGTGGGAGCATTCACGAGTGAAGGTCTTCATTCTGCTCTGTTACAGCTTTGATATGGGGTTTAGCAGCCACGCAGCGACCCGTGACTGTGGACAAATCCAGGATGGCCATGCCGGAGGTATTTGTCCGTGGGGATGATTCGCCGAGCCTGCTTCTTGACCTCGGATACGATGTCGAGCCAATCAATTATCCCGCTTTTGTACGGCACAAGACGTTCAAAGGCTTGAGTTATTGGAGCTGTTTGGGGTTCAATAAGCCGTTGTACGAATACGAGGTCAGGCTCGAGGACCCTGAGGCACTCCCGATCCTCCAGAGCAGTCGGTGAGAAGGAGGACCTTTGTTGTGATCGGTTAGTAGGATGTTTCTCTACTGTGATAAACCAGAGGGAAAGACAGACAACCCAGCTTCGAAGAACCACTCCCGCATTTTAACAAGTCACAGTACATAGTCCTCGAGCGTGTTGGAGGCAAACAGCTCCTCAGGTTGAAATCTCCTCTGTGCCAATCCCTGATCAAAGGAATACTGCAAGAACTTGTCCAGCACATGCCTGTTTGCCTCGAAGCCATCTTTCCACCAGCGATCGTCTCCGCCCATCAGCCTCTTCGTCTCCTCCACATGGTCCTCCAGCCACGGTAAAATGTACCGCAACGCGGCCCGCTCCTTCAACGGCTCGTATGCCATCTCCAGACTTCGGGCAAAGGCCTTGGTCAGGCTCTTCGCGATCCATGGGTTGGCGTCATAGACGCTGCGCTTCAGGGCCACGACATGCATGATTGGAAATATCTTGGTGCGGGCATAGTACTCGGCTTCGACGGCTTTGAAGTCGTCGAACAGCCTGGTGACGGTTTCTGGCGACGTGTCGAACGACGAGGGTTTGGTGGCGCTGAAGATGGCGTCGATCTCCCCGTCGGCGAGCATCTGAGATAGATTCTGTCCGGGCTGGATCGCGGTCACTTGGATGTCGGCCGGGTAAGCGTGTGAGACCTTGGAATGTCGGGGTTTGTCCGACGGTTCAATGGCGCCAGTGTAGAAGTGCACACTGGACAAAGGCGCCCCAAAGTCTTCTGCCAGGATCCCTCGTTGCCAGACTGCTGCTGTCACTGTGGTTTGCAGAAATCATTAGGAAAGGGCTAATCTCTCTTGGATGGATGGGTGGGAGAAGTCGCGATCTGGAGATACCGACTTTGATACTCTGGAGTTCCAATGCGCTTCCCACGCAGATCCTCTGGTCTCTTGATGCCGGATTTGGAGTTGATGTACATCGACTGGTGGCGGAAGAAGCGAGACGGGAAGACTGGCAGAGCGATGAACGGCGGATTGTCTTGATTCAGTGTCAGGACATACGAGGACAAGGAGAGTTCCGAAAGATCGAATTCCTTGAATCGAAGTTGGCGGAAGAAGCTGTCCTAGCCCATCCATATCAGTCACTCCATATCCCTCGTCACAACGGGTTTGACTACTGCGATGGTGATGGGATAAATGCATACGTCTCCTCGACCCGATAATTGAGAAATGTGAGCTCGATTCCTTCTGCTCGCGCTCTGCCATCTTCAATGGCTTTCATTCGGTCGTAATCCCAACACGCAAAGGACAGTTTGAGCACCATCTTGTCGTCACTGTGGCTATGTCGAGCCTTTCATCCAGTGGTGGGAGGGTGTTCTCCCCCTGTTGTTTGCTCACTTGCTCTTTTTGTACATTCTACGTGCTTCAGCCTGCTCCAATCCCGGGGTCTCCAATGTGTCTTCGGGCAGTTTCCGGAGCGAGGCGCCGTGAGACACAGGGTCTGGGCCACCACTGAACAGGGGAAATGTCTCGATCCGGCCCCCCAGTTTGTCGGCGCCACTTTATAAGATCCGCGGCTCATTCCGACAAAACTCATCCTGTCAATGCCGGGGTGAGACTCTGGGGCTGGTGAGACCACGAGGTATAATACCCCACAGAATGGCATGTGTTTGAAATGCTGCATCCCTACCCCCAGGCTCACAGGTTCACACCAAGCCCTCACATCTGCTTCTCACAATGGATTCGGACGACAAAGTTCACGTTGTGGTCTCCAAAGACGGCTCTGAACAGGCGATTGAAAACGCCGTCTCCGAGAAGCCAGATGATGTTCGACGCGATCGTCATGGATTTCCTCTTCTTCCCCAGCCGACTCGTTTTCGCGACGACCCCCTGGTAAGAGGCAAAAAAAAGTTCTATTATCTGAGGTTATTCAGCTCACTGACACGATCTCGGCAGAACTGGCCATCATGGCTGAAATGGCTCGTGCTCCTCCAGGTTTCATTCCTCGCCATGCTGGGGCCGTTCAATTCAGCTGTCGTCAACCCTGGATTGGTGCCGCTCGCAAAGCTGTTCCACATCCCTGTCGGCCAGGCGTCGTACCAGACGACCTCGGTCATCATCTCTGTGGGCATTTCGCCATTGTTCTGGACACCGCTGGCCAATGTCTATGGGAGACGACCGGTCTATCTCATCTCGACCCTCATCGGAATCGTTGCAACGGTCGGCAGCGGCGTCGCCAAAACATGGCATACTTTGATCATTGCTCGGGTTTTCAGTGGCGTTGGTGTCGGCGCAGCGATGGCTCTGGGTGCTGCCACGGTCAACGACTTGTTCTTTCTGCATGAGGTACCGCACCACAATCGCTTGAAATCCCCCCCGCTTCGAGCACAGACTAACACAAGATTTAGAGAGGCTTGAAAATGGGCATCTTTACTGTCTTCTTGACCAACGGCGCCCATGTTGCCCCAGTGATTGGAGGCTACCTGGTACAGACAGCCGGGGTTCGATGGGCATATTACTTCCCGGCCATCGTCAACTCTGTGACCTTTGTTGTCATGGTCTTCGCCATGCCTGAAACCCTGTTTTCCCGCTCCGAGAAGGTGCTCGCACAGCACGAAGAGAGGACCTACATGCAGATGCTCTTCAGCTTCCGCAGAAACGCGCTCCGAGACCGAAGAGTCCACCTGCGAGATTTCGTGCGACCCTTTGAGATGATGTACTATCCCTCAGTCTTCCTCACGTGTCTCTACTACATCGTCTCGTTTGCCTTCTCCTCCATCCTACCAGCAGTGACAGTCGCCATTCTGTTCACCAAGATCTACCATTTCAAGACCGGAGCTATTGGACTCATGCTCGGCCTCCCCCTGCTGATCGGCTCGGCTCTTGGGGAGTTTCTCTCCGGACCCTTTTCGGACTGGTTCATGTACCGATATGCGAAGAAACACGGAGGAGAGAGAAAGCCTGAAGCCCGACTGCCCGCGTCTCTTGGAAGCCTCCTGCTTTGTCCTACGGGGATCATCATCTATGGTGTCTGCCTGTACCACAAGACCCACTGGATGGGCCCGGTGATGGGGATGGCGATTGCCAGTTTCGGGCTGCAGCTGGTCACCACAGTCAGCTACGCCTACTGCAGCGACTGCTACAAGCCGCAGTCCGGAGAGATCAGCAGCTTGTACAACTTTTGGCGACAGACGTTTGCGTTTCCTCTCGGCTTTTACGCGTAAGTTCCTTGTTGATCCTGGGGTTTGGGAGAGATTCAGACTGACATCTACAGTCTCCCGTTCGCAGACGAGATCACCATCCAGTGGGCTTGGATCACGCTTGCTCTTTTGACGGCGGTGACATCCATGGGGATTGTTGTTTTGATATTCAAGGGTGAGGAGTGGAGGAAGCGGATCGGTCAGCCGCAGTTCCACAAGGATATTTAACCTTGTGCGAATATTTTGGCGTGCTGGATGGCACATTTAAGGTCTGATACGGCACAAGAGATCTACATGCCGTGGTAGACCGGGTTCAATGACCGGCTACCTACGAATGACGGGGGAATATCAAAGGAGTCAAACGATGGATATTCGTTGTCTCGTCTTAGGGCTCTTCTTGGTGATCAAGGGGTCCTCGCCCTATACAGTCCATGCAGTATAATTAGACAGCACAATAGGAGAAACGTAGAAACACATCATCTTCTCTGACAAGAAGCCCCCGAACCTGGTCTTTCATCCCGGCCCCATGGATGATCCCGTCACGTGCAGCCCCCAAAGTGCCGCATTTTCCCCGGATTCTCAATCCTTGAATTCTTGCGGGGTTTTGCATTTGCTTTTGTTTCCATCACATCCTCTTCACCACATTGACCACAAGCGAAACATCGGGTGAATGGGGGTTTTCTACGTGGATGGATATCTATAGCAACACAGAGAACCATCCCGGCCCAAGCACGGTGCTCTTCAAATACGACATCAGAGCCATTCTATTCCTTTTGATATGGCGGATCCGCCACTGAAGAAGAGACTTGCCTCTGGGAAAGCATGCACAAGCTGCCGAAGGAGGAAAAATCGATGCGATGGAGGCCGCCCAAACTGTTCATCCTGCCAGAGTCGAGGGACTCGCTGCATATATCCGTCTTTGGTGGACGAGCTCAGCCTTGACGAGTAAAGCGCCGGATGCCCTGTTTTATTTCAGTCCATGTCTAACTCCTTTTCAGGCTCAGATCGCTGGTGGACCTAAAGGCGCGAACCAATGTTGGAATTGTCAGCGAAGGTCAGGAACAGGTTCAGCAAACTCCCTACTTTGACGACGGCGATGATGATGCCGCCGCCGCCGCTGCTCCGGCCGCCGATGTCACAATCCAGCACAAAGTTACAAGCGTCCAGACGCCCCTCTCCACTAGTCCGTCAGAACCTCAAGACCCCGAGGCGTTCTTCGGAGAGTCGTCGACCTTCGCCTTCGTCTCCAAGGTTCAAACGACGAATGCACCGCGACAAGCCCTCACGCCCGCGAATAAACGCCGCCGCCTATCGAGTTCGCGAAGTTCTCAGACTCACAGTCTCGATCCCGGCCTGACTCCCCGAGACTGCGAGGACACGTATGAACTTCCCTCGAAAGACCTTGCGGACAGCCTTGTGGACCTGTACTTCAACCACGTGCATCGCCTCTACCCCTTTGTTCACGAGCCGAGCTTCAGAACCCAATACGAACGAATGTGGACCAGCGACGGGGATCACTCTGAGACGAAAGCCACCTGGCTGGCGGTTCTCAATCTCATTTTCGTTCATGGGTGCGAGTTTCACGATCCCATCCAAGGGAGAAGTGCCTCACATTCGGCCACGAGATTCCTCGGACGGGCTCGAAACATTGTGTTTGCGCACATCTTCAAGGAAGGCAATTTGGAGCTCGTCCAGGCCCTGCTTTTGATGTGCCACTACCTCCAAGGCACTCTGGAGCTGACTGAATGCTGGAGCTTGAGCGGACTCATGATCAGAACCTCCATCAGCATTGGTCTCCATCTGAACCCTTCCCCTGCCATGTCCGCCGTCGAAAGAGAAGTCAGAAAACGTGTGTGGTGGGGTTGCTTTGTGATTGACCGCACCCTGAGCATGAAATTTGGCAGGCCACCTTCCATTCCCACGGGGAATGCGTCGGATGTCGAGCTTCCGTTGCCGGTCGACGATCAATATATCATGAATGACTCGATTACTCCTCGGCAGCCTGCGAATCGTCCATCATTGACGTCCTTCTTCATTCGGACGATCAAACTCGCACATATCATTGACAGCGTCCTCCTCAAACTGTACTCTTCGTCGACAAAACCGTGGACTTCGACGGTTCCTTCTCCTGACAAGCAGGATCACTTCACCGAGATATTTGGCCACTCGGTGCTATTGGACGGGGAACTACTGTCCTGGTGGAATGGCAATCCATCCCATCTGAAAGACGAGCCTGACTATCCGGACGGCCCTGATTTCCAGCGACAGCGTAATGTCATGTACATTCGGTACGCAAGCCACTACAGGACTATCGAATGAGTCACTGATCTAAATGCAGGTTTCTGAATGTCCGGCTGTTGCTCCATCGCCAGTCATTTCTGATATTCAGTCGACAAGAAATCGAAGACAGTTTCCACAGAGATGTGGCCATTGCTTCATGCAACCGTTGTATATTAGCCGCCCGCGAGACTATCAGGGTCATCTACTCTCAGTATCGTCGTGGGCTGCTGAATTCTCTGTGGTACAATCTCCACTGTAAGACACCGCCCACGCACACTGACTCTCGACTAACATCTACAGACGTATTTACTGCTATCGGAGTGCTCTTGACGTTACAGACGATGGAAAGATGGAAGCTAGAAGCGCTGGGTCAGATCGGGCTGGACGAAACCCTGGAGCTGGGCATGGAATTTTTAAAGGTAGCCAGCAGTACCAGCACGCTGGCATCGAGGTACCTGATCCTGCTGGAGCGCATTCAGACTCAAGCGAGTGGTCGGGAGACTCCCCTTCCCGGCCAGCCCTCCAGTCAAGGCCATCTGACACAGCATCATCCGGATAATTCGGACCCGGCATTGCTGCCGGCAGACAGGACGCCCTTGCAGCGACCACAAGACGAAGGTCAATTGCTGCTCAGCTCGGATCTTATCGACTTTGACGACTTGCTCTTTGGAACTGGTCTTCCGAGGGATCTTCTTTCAGCTGATTGGTCCGGCTTTGACCCCCTGTGACTAGCTAGTCGTTTCTACCATGCCAGCAACGAGCCCTGCCGCCAATGCTTCCTGCCAGATTACGAAAAGGCTGGTGCGGAGTCTCCAACTTTCTTGGAGTTTGTTGCCACATTTTTGGAGACTTAAGCGACGACTCAACGTGTGGATCTTCAAGGCTGCGTGGACCTGCAAGTATCCGATCGGAATGGAGCCGTGGCAAGCCGCGGCTGGGAACCGACACCCTGGAAGAGGAGAAGGACACCCCCCCCTTTGCAACATGTCTCGGCATATTAAAAGCACGGAGACCACTAAAACAAGCGATAACAAAGTGTACACGGGACCCAAAGACCCTCAGAATGCATGGACAAGCGGCCTCTGTGGCTGCCCAGGTTGTTGATTTCGTGCGTCAGCTCTCTTGGATGATTCCTGTGGCAGGTGTATTCGTATGCACCTTCGCATTCATCGTCTACCAGCGATGGCTGTCGCCTTTGGCCAAGGTCAACGGACCGTTCTGGGCGTCACTCAGCCCGCTTTGGAAGTTGCTGGCATTCAACAACGGCAATTTCCACGAGACAATTCTAGCCCTGCACGAACAATACGGACCCATCGTCCGCATCGCGCCAAACGAGGTGATTATATCTGACAAGTCGGCGATTCGCGAGATATACAACACCGTGCAAGGCAGAGACTTTTTGAAGGTATGTGAGCAGCAGAGCTTGAGACGATATTAAGTATCTGACCGTGGCAGACGACATACTACGAGTAAGTTTGAAGACGCGCGATGCAGATTGCAACGCTAAAGGATTGGGAAAGTGCATTTACCGCCTTCCGACCGACCATTTTTGGTCAAAGAGACCCGTACCTGCATGCCCAGCGGAAACGCATCGTGTCTCACGGGTACAGCATGAATGCACTCCAGTCTATGGAGAAGTTTGTCCAGGAGCGTCTCCAGATCTTTATGAGCAAGATGTCGGCGTTTGCAAAGTCTGGAGCTTCGATCAACCTGGGGAAATGGTGCCACTTCTTCGCCTTCGATGTTATCGGAGAGTTGGTATGTCTCAGACGTCTGGTTGTGCCTGTCCCAGACGCGTGACTGATTGTTTGGCGATTGTAGGCGTTTAGCGAGGGATTCGGCATGCTCGAAACAGGGGTCGAGGACGAACATATCCGTCTCATCAACAATCAGATGGAGTTTGGGTCGACAATTGGAATGATGCCGTCCCTGATTCCATATACCAAGTGGACCTGGCTGCCGATTCCGTGGCTGCAGAGTCTGCAAGCGGGTCGTGAGAGGTTGAAGGAGGTCAGGCAGTCAAAAGAAAAAAAAACCTCCCTCTGTGCAACTGGCTAACTATCCCCTGTAGCTTACGAGGTCTCGCGTCGAACGGAGACAGGAGAAAGTCAGCGACCGGAAAGATCTTCTCGGCAGACTCATCGAGGCGAAGGATCCGGTGACTGGTCAAATGCTCGACTCGATTGATTTGCGGACCGAAGCTTTCTCCAGCATGTACGTTTCTGCTTCATCCTTATCCGACCTCCTCCTAACCCAGTCAACGCAGCGTCGCGGGGAGTGACTCGACATCGTCGGCTTTGAGCTATACATTCTATCACATCCTCGGCCACCCCGCCGTCTATGAGAACCTAACCAAGGAGCTGCGAACCGCGTTTCCCGAACGCGACTACAAGACCGATGAGACACCCCCGACATATGCCGACTTTGGCAAATTGCCGTACCTGCAAGCCGTGATCAAGGAGAGTCTTCGACTGACTCCCCCTGCGACGATCAACCTCCCACGGTACGTGCCAGAGGGAGGGCGCGTCGTTGCCGGGACGTATTTCCCTGGCAAGGTACGTTTTAGCCCTTTTATATTTGGAAATGGCATTTGCGATTCCGGTCTCTAATGGAAATGGTAGACGATTGTCGGAATGTCCGCCCTGCCGGTCCATCTGAACCAGGAGACGTTCGGTCCCGACGCTGCGATGTTCAACCCCGACCGCTGGGTTCACGGGTCTGGCGGGATCACTCCCGAAGAGATGCAGCGGTACTGGATGCCCTTTGGCCACGGGTCGAGGCAGTGTATCGGCAAGAACGTCGCCATGATGGAGGTGAGTACTCCCACTCCCTTCCCCCTTTTCTAGATTCCACTGCCTGCCTCCGAAGCCTTGCCTAGCACTTACCAAACTAACGCACAACTCTTCCATGGGGCTGTAGCTGGTCAAACTCGTCGGCACACTCTTGCTGTACTTTGACGTCGAGCTTATCACCACCGACACCGGCTTTGGCGGCAACACCGCCAAGAAACTGCCCGAAATCCCCGTGTCGAGAAGTTACTTCTTCGCCAGGATCAGGGATCCTTTGATGGTTAGGATTCGTGAGAGGGGTTCACGTTAGTGCCAGGGATGTGTGGATGGACGGATTGACCGGTGGATTGACGCGAACGTCAATCTGGATACGATACGAAGACGAGGAAGGAGGTGGAAATAAAATCGAAATCGAAGAGGAAGGAAACCCGACATATGAGGAGAGACTCGTGCTTTTTGATCGATTGGTCCGAATGAGCAAGGTTACAAGGGACTTGAAAAGGATAGTCAGATAGACGAGGAGCAAGTATGCCGGAGCAGACATGCAAAGCAGGGGAAAGACAGCCAACCTCTCAGATACGCAATGAACGAGTCCTGGCCCAAGACAAGTCACAAGAGCTAGTTCTATTCAGTTCTATATACGATACACAGACTCCCACCGCCTGCTGGCCCTTGCCCTTCCGCCCCTCCACTGACGTAGATCTGACAATCAGAGACCAACCCGGCGATCAAGCCGCCAACCGCGGCCCTCGCGTGGCGGGTGCTGTGGATGTCGCTGTCCGTGTTCATGGTGTGGCGCCACGCGCGGACGTGGCCGCTTGGATCGGCCTCGGCCTTTGCAAAGACCTGGACGACGGTGCCGTTGTGCCTCTTTACCGTCTCGAGAAGGGCGAGAATGGCGGCCGCGTCGATCGCGTCGGCCATGTACCGCGAGAGTGCGTGCAGGTTGTAAGGCGTTTCCCCTCCCGCAGCAGCCGGATCCGTCGCCAGGACAAGGACGTGGCAGTCTTCCAGCTCTGCGCCGCTGCTGCAGCTCGCCTTTGCGCTCCAGGTGTTTTGTGACGCCAGGACGTCTTCGAGCCGGCCACCGTCCGGCAACTCGTCCAGCGCGGAGGCGATCCCCACGGCACTCGCGTACCGCGACCTGGCCATGGACTCGTACGTGTCTGTCGTGACGGGCACGCGGGCCTGTGCGCGAGCGGCCTCGATCTTCGCCGACGTCAACAGCGGACACTTGACGAGGACGAGGTGGACGTCCCCCACCGCGAGGGATGCGGCGCGCATCATCCCGCCCACCGTCTGTTGTACTTGCGCGGCGTGTTCTGGCGTGCCGACCTCGTGAGGCTCCAGGACCCGCGTGCGCCCGATCGAGGCGACGAGGCCCGTACGCTGACCGTCCCGGGCGCGCACGAAAAACGTGACGTGCGGGCTGAGCACGCCTTCGGTCCCACCGGAGAAAATGGTCACGGCGTCCTTTGGGATCAGTGGTTCCCACACGGTAGACGCGAGCGTGCGGGAAAAGTCGTTGACGCAGCCATTCCCTTTTGAGGGAAGTAGTGATGCTAGTTAGCATTCATCCGTTTTCCGTTTTTTTGATACCTTGTATATATATATGTGTGTGTGTTCTGGGCTCTTCCTTCCCTTTGCATTGAAAAGAGGTCGTATGTATGGGGGAGCGGGGGTCGGGAAGGCTAGACGAAACGAAGGGGGAGAACGGTCAATCAATGCATACCTTCGGTCTTGCCAACCACAGCCAAGATCTGGGATGCGTTATACCCAGCCTCTTTCAGCCTCTCCAGAGGCGTCGTATCCGCTGGGGACGATGTAGGAAATTTGAGAATCTCGACCGCCGCCTCCGCCGCCATATTCGGAGACGTGGAAATTATTACAACTATTCCGGCCCCGTCGACCATGCAAATATATCGCTCCAAGAAACAACGTCAACGGAGAAGATCTATTCGTCCTATAACTACACTGCGAACCATAACTCGATCTTTGTATTGTTTCGTCGGACATCTCCAGCGTCAGTCCCACCAAACGCGCGCTATGGATGTCGCTTATCACCGTCGTCTATTCGGCCGTCGGAAGGGCGGCGGCCATTGGCCGACGGCTTACTAGGTACATACTCTGGTACTCATTCGGTGATCAAGAAGTGTAAAGGGGGTACAGCACCATGTCCCATACCTGCGGAATCATCAGGTCAATCACGAGGTGGTAGTATGGTATCCTTCCCGTATATCTGTGAAGACTCCAATCTGTCCTCCCTCAAAAGCCAACAATCCTCAGTTCGCGCTCTCAGGGTGGTCCCACACTTTCCTAGCTGCAGGTCGAGCTGCGATCTTGTGAAACCACTCATCCACCAGCGGATACTTGCTCTGGTCGAACTCGTCCTTGGTAAAGGCCTTGCCGACCGTGTATTGCCAGGGAGCAAAGGCAATGTCAGCATAAGACAATTTATTGCCAACGAGCCACGGCCCATCGCCACCAGCAGCGCTCTCCTGCTTCTGTCGAGCCAAATGCCCTTCCAACACCCCTACCACCCTCTCAATCTCTTTCAGATAGCGATCAAGAGCACTGGGTAACCTTTCGGGATGGAACAGTTTGAACCACCCCGCCTGGCCGTAGTACGGACCCTGTCCAGAGACCTGGAAGTAGAGCCACTGCCTGGCGAGCCAGAACTCGGCTGTCCCCGAGGCAAAGCTCAGTCGGCGCTCCTTGTCGTATGTTTCGATGAGATACTCGACGATGGCACCAGACTCCCATAGCGTGATGCCGGTGTTGGGGTCGTGGATAGATGGTAGACGTCCATTAGGGTTGATGGCGACGTATTCGGGTTTCTTGACGTCAGAGAAAGGGACCGGGACGACTTCGTAGGGGATTTGCAGTTCCTCTAGAATGATGGCGACTTTTGCCGGATTTGCAGTCGCAGAGTCGCCCCAGAGCTTTATTGGTTTCGGTGGAGAAGACATTCTGAAACCTTGTCAAAAGATGGAGGAAAAGGTACAGTGCTAGTGGCTGAGATTCTGGAAGATTTCATCTGTGTAATATGCCTTCCCGAGGGAGCAGGGCACATATATATATAGACAACGTGACTCTCGTACATCCCTGATGATTTTGACAAACATCTCTTGCGACCAGCCGTCACTCGGCTCAGACTTCTCCATATATTTGTAAGAGCTGAGAAATACAAAGATCAGGCAGCGCAAAGATTCTCCTTTTCGAGGGAATCCGGTCGGGGATTGGAAGCTTTCCATGTCAAAATGCTATTTGAGAATCATGTAGTACCGAGGTGAGAGTCGGAAAGCAAAACTAATCTCGATCAGGAAATATCTTAATGTGGACCCCCCGGACCTCGACTCTGAGCTAAGCCCAATCGGGAGAAACTTTTCGAGCACGACAAAAAGCCTCCGTCTGAATCGCTCCTCTCCTTGTCAAAAGCCAGGCAATTACGTCGGGAACACTCTCCCTCTCTTCAGACTGATCCATGTTCGATGCCATTCTCAAGCAGGGCGTGTCAAACTTGTAAGATCCGAAGGGTCAAGGTAAGCCCATCACCCCTGTGACGGCGACCGATCCACCTGCTGACACAGATTCAGTGTGACGAAACCAAGCCGACATGTCGGCGGTGCTCAGGGTCCGGGAAAATATGCATCTTCGCCAGCGTGGTCGAGCAGCCCGGCTTTGTGTTCAACCTCGAGAATGCCTACGCGAGTGGCAAGGTCAAACGACCGAGGGGCCCGCGATCATGCCTGACCTCGCTCCGCCCACGTTTCGACCTCGAAGCACGTGCCGTCGCGCACTATCTCCAAGACCATTTAGTTGTGTCATATGATGTCCCAGACGTCGTCCAAAGCCTTTGTACGTACGTCGGCGCATGGAAAGGCTCTGGGGTCAAGTCTACGATGGTTGACCTGGCTCTATCGGCCGCCTCACTCGCCGTCTTTTCGCGGGTCAAACAGCATCCACAAGCTGGGGCTGAAGCAGCAGCCAAATATTCCGTCCTTCTGCAATTGTTGAAAGAGCGCATCACGGATATGGAGCTCGCGTCTTGGGACAATTCCCAGGAGATCGACGCCTGCTTGCTGACCATGTTTCTCATGGGCCGGTACGAGGCCGCGATGCCGCCGACTAGTTCTACCGTGTCTGAGTCGCTACAGAGATACTTCCACCATGAAGGGGGTCTCGCCGTGTTGAAGGCCTGGGTACAGCGCCCAAATTCACCCCGAGTAACACCCATCGTCAAACTCGGCCGGAGAGGGCTGATCAGATCGTCTCTGCTTCGAAACATCCCTTTACCGGATTGGATACTCGAGGGCGAGCGTTTCGGCGAGCAGGACCGTGAGATGGTGTTTGACCGTGTTTTAGTCGGTGCGGTCAATCTGCATCATGACACCGGGCTTCTTCTGCGGCGGAACGACGGACTATCATCGTCCGCGGTGTTGGCACTTCTAGGTCAGGCGCGAGGGTATGACGAATCACTACGCGACTGGGCCAAGTCATTACCTCCGACATGGTCCTATCAGAGACACACTCTCACAGACCCCGGTCCATGGCCCAAGCGACACTTCTACTCTCCGACAGCCTATAGCTTCCAGACAGGAGGCCAAGCCAGCGTCTGGAGCCAATACTTTGCCACGAGAATGCTGATCAACAGCACACGCCTCAAATTACTTGACGTAGCTCGCCAACCTTCATTCCTCGGCGCCCAATACGGACAGAGCGAATGGCTCGAATCGTCGATCCTTCTCAACTCCATGGCAGACCGCTTGGCTTTTACCATCCCATTTGCACTGGGCAGACTCGAGGTGGCGCAAACCTCAGACGGGGAGACTCTAGTAACAGTAAACTCGGACAAGGACATGAAGCCCTCTCTCGCGGCTCTGGTAGTGTGGCAATTGACCCTCGCCGCGAGCATTGAGCGAGTCGATCTCAAGCAGCAGCGATGGTTCCGTTCCGAGACCGCGCAGCTGGGGAGGAGGATAGGAAACCACGTCCTTGAATCTGCAGAAGCCGATGGATGGCTTGTCCTCTGAGCTGCAAAATGGATGCGTCGCAGACCCATCAAAGAGCCAAAAGGTCCAGATCCTTGATGCTTCTGAGGTCACAACATCCTTAACTAGCAGGAATTATCGTCATGCGTGTCCCATTTTGTGTGATAGATCATGTAATTGATATGGACGATGTGATCATTCTTGAGGATATCCTTCTCCACAGCAACGGTACAATCAACTAGTCCCAAAGAAACCCCACCACCTGCCGCCACTTGGGCGTATTCGGCTCTGGCTCTACATCTTCAGCTGCGCGCGCGAGGGCCTCTGCGAGAGGAATCTCCGAGAGCTTCACAATCTTGGTCCGCTTGAATATCTTCCAAGCGACATATGCCGTGATGACGAGAGGTATGTCCCTGTGAGAGCAACGTCAGCGGGTTGATAGATGGAAACGAGATGGTTTTTGTTAGGGTTATGGGAATGAACTCACAGGTACGATGAGATGAAGCCGCTGGTCGACCAATTCCCCTTGGTGAAGACGGGGAAGCCGGCTGTGAGGAGGATCACCACGCACAAGAAGAGTGCTGCGGGGGTGGAGAATTCTGTGCGAAAGGAAGGAGATCAGCAATAGTCTCAAGCGGACAGGAGCTGGGTGGGCCACGTACCGGTCCATCTTGAATGCCAAGGAAGCAGCTTCAATTCCAGCCCCTGTGCCTTCATGGCCTGCAGCAGTCGCCAGTGGTTCAACAGCACCGAGATCCACGAGATCAGCACACCGCAGGCCGTCAAATCCACAAGCCACCAGAAAACGGTGAGGGCGCCATCAGACAAGCTCATGAATGCCAGAAACATGAAGGCCGCGAAGAAAAGCACGCAAACATACGGGACCCCCCACGGTGTGGTCCGCAGGAAGACTTTGGGGGCCTGGTTTTTCAGCGCCAGGCCATACAGGACACGGGTGCCGGAAAGCAACGCTTGGTTCGAGCTGGACCATGCAGAAGTGATCACGATGGCGTTCACCAGTGAGGGAACGCCATTGAGGCCCGCCGCGCTGGCGGCGATGACGAATGGGCTCTGTGCGGCGGTGCCCGACTCATCATCGAGTCTGGGGTCGTCGCTTCGCACAAGCATGCCTACAATGAGCACAGCCAGGACGTAAAAGGTCGAAACACGGATGAAAACCCGCTTGCAGGCCTTTGGAATCGCCACGCGCGGGTTTCGTGTCTCGGCCGCGGCCATGGCAATGCTTTCAGTGCCCGCGAAGCTGAAGACGGCGTTGCTCATGACGGCCCAGTAACCGAGAAACTTGCCCCACGAGCCAGTGGCGATGAACTCGACGAACGGGCCTGGATTTTTCCAGTATCGGAAGCCGGTACGAGGCGTGCCTGGAACTCCACCGAGGTCGATGACCAATCCGAGCACAATCAGGAAGACGATGAACAGGATCTTGAGAAGGGCGAACCAGAACTCGACCTCGCCATAGATGCCGATGAAAGAAAGCCCGACGACAACGGTCAGGGCGATGAAGATCACTATCCAAAGTGAAGGGTTGATGTCGGTCCAGTACTGGAAGAGAACACAGATTGCGGTGATTTCCGCCGGGATGGAGAGACAATTGCCGTACACCAGGTTGTATCTATTCCAACACGTATCAGAAATGGCATGCTGCTCAGCACACCGGAAGGACAAACCCTATGGCGAAGCCAAATGCAGGATCGACGAGGAGTTCTGCATGTCGGACAAAGGAGCCAGTAACAGGTAACAGAGCCGTCACCTCCCCCAGCGCAAACTGCACCGCGCACACAACCACACCGATCGTAGTGTAGCCCAACAGTGCTCCGAGGGGACCAGCGGTCTGTATAGATCCTCCGAGTCCCAGAAAGAGACCTGTGCCCTTTACACAAGGATCAGTTTTGTGATGAAAAATGAGACGAGAGAAGCGGTGAAACCCACAATGGCTCCAGCGATGGCAATGAGGGACACATGGCGCTGATGAAGACCTCGCCTGAGCTCGCGATCCTCCGTGACCGTCACAAAGTCACTTTCATCAAGGGACGAAGGACCTCCTGTGGTGTAGGGTGGAGAGCGAACCGCTGGCTCTATACTGCTCCCGACCTGCTTACCGACATCCTGTGTTATTTCGGCCATGTCTTCTGGTTAAAGAGGATGTGATAGTCGGCAGACTGCAGGGAAATGGGATACAGTGAGCATGAGATGATCAACTGGATGAAAGGATTGAAGTCACAAAAATAGCAATGCGACAACAGAATTTCGCCGCTAAATGGCGTGCTCAATTAGACTGGGTAAGCACGAAATGCTGGCGAAATCCTACCCCACGACGAGAGGCCTTAGCACTTTCGCTGGGGAAGTGTACATGTATTTTGTGTTGATAGCTTGAGCGTAATTACGTAATTGGGCACAGTAGCAAGGTAGACTACAGGATCTGTGATGCCCTTCCTCAGCAAGTACATGACGGAGAAAACCAAGTCGATAGTGCGGGAATTATGGTGGCAGGCGATTTGTGGAGTAAAGCTGTAACTAGTACTCGGTACAGTAATTAATGACATTAGAGGTGATGCTTAACCAGCATAAGCGTAACTTTAACGGAGTCTCGGCTTCAGCTTCCCATCCTGGAATACAACTCTGTGATTCTACCTTGATTGCCGGCAGGATAGTTACCATTGCAGAATGCTAGTTTCATCGCTTACATTATATATCTAGAGGTCATATAGCGATTCTGGACCTACGCAAGTATATCCTCTCCATTTCTTGAACCCCAAAGCTTGAGAATCTCGCCCTTTGCAACATCCATATCGCAAGACTCAATCCTCTTTTGAATATCGCGTCTCGTGCTCCGCAGCTGCTCTGCTACCGTGGACCAAGGTATGAATTCATGTTCGAATACCGAGACGACTTCGTCGCTGCCGTGCCAGACCTCCGGCCCATTGAAGCGGACCTTGACCAGTCGACCTTGTTCTTTGAGGATCTTTCCCGCAACGATAACAGTTTCTATTTCTTGCACCCCAGCGTGTCTGACGACCGCGACTAATGGATCATGCTCAAAGGCACAACACATGGCTGGCGTGTTACCGTCGATCACAATGATATCTGCCAACTTACCTTCTCTCAGGCTGCCGGTCTTATCTGCTAAACCTGCAGCGCGGGCACCCAGGATGGTTGCCAGATTGAAGGCGTGTTCTGTCGTAGGCTCGATCTTTCTGGGGAATTTTCCATCCGCCAATGTTCGAGAGTTGCGATGGGAACGTGATACAGCGAGACCGACCTGCATCGCATGGAGCAAGGACGAAGGATTGTTCGAGTGACCTATCACGAGTCTCATTAGCGTCGAAGCCGAAGACAAGACAACCGCCTCTGAACCCACAGTCGGCCCCTATAGAGCCTCGCACATCATTCCTAAATCCGATTATCTCGCCATGAGCCATCTGAGACTCTGTCCCAGGTGTTGCGGAAATGAATGCTCCCGAATGTTTCAAAATTTCGAGCTCCTCCTCAGTTGATCCCGTGGCATGGGACAATATAATGTCGGATTTCAGAAGTCCGTACTGTTCTAACGCTTTGGGCACGGAGAGACCCATGCCTGTGCGAAGTCAATGAGATCGAACAAGATGTGTGTCGGTCGGAATGTCTGGGCCTACCGGCAATATTATTTCTTCGCCAATGGGAGGTGATGACCTTCGCCCCAATGCTCCGGGCGGTTTCGAATATGCGTACCACATCCTCGCGGGGCAGATTATAAGAGTCAAATCCCAGTCCAATATCCACTTTTCCATCTTGCCGTTGTGCTTTTTGCTGAAGCTCTCGCAGCAAAGGGAAAAACCAATCAGGTAGGATCTGACCATCCGGAGCAACTTCAGTATCCCATCGTTTCAGCCGAGGTGTTACGCTGAGGCATAAAACCGATCTTATTTGAGAACTGAGAGTGGCAGCAAGAGCAGCCAGGCCGTGACTCGGCGAGTAGGCCATGTGAGCGTGGTCAACAACACATGTCGTACCTCCGTCAATGGCCTCCATTAACCCGCCCAGCTCACCCCAAAAGACGTCGCGCGCAGTATAATTGAACGGTTGCCAGTTTCCTTTTGCAGTATAGTCGAGAAGAGTGTCGTCGCTGTGCCTTCCTTTCAGCTGGGTCTGCCAAACGTGATGATGGGTATCGACAAAACCAGGTGAGACCACTTTGCCTTTGCAATCTATGATTTTGGTGTTTGGTCCAGCCACCAAATCTCGGCCAATCTGGGCGATTTTCTCCCCCTGAATCAAGAGATCGGTATCTCGAAGGACACGGACTTTGTCGTGCTCGTCATGCTGAAGGATTGTTCCCTGCCGCAGGAGAATGTTTGCCAGGTGACTGTCATCCATGGTCGCAACTCTCGGAGATTTAACGGTAACAAGCCCAAGAAGTATGTAAAATGCTCAACCATATAAATCAGGCGTATAGATACATGTATCTCATCAAAATTACTGACATTGACAGCAATCGGGGAAATGATTGTCCCCAATCTTCTCAAAGCCAGAGCCTCGACGCATTCAACCCAAGGCGGGAGAAGTCCGCTCTGGGTGGCAGCTTTGAACTGCCGACATCAACCTGGGCTGGCCGAGGTGAAGCCCGCAGTCGTGCTGGCGGGGATCGTTAGGCCATCTCTTGGGTGCCTAACTAGTTCTGTCACTCGGTAACCGCGCGACTTTTCAATTCCTTTCACAGTTTATAGGTCTTCTCGGCTCAATTCAGAGTGGATGAAGTTCCAATGTCCTAAAGTGCTTTGTGAGCCTACCTCCTTTGTGAACTGCTACTGCAGGGGCTGTGGAGGGCTACATCTAGAGGGCAAAGATCATGATTGTGGTCAATACGTTCCCCACTGTCAGGAGCAGCGTGAAGTTTCTCTTGCGAGCCCTGCAGAAGCACAACGACAGACTTGTTCCTCATACTGGTCAGACCACTGCTGATAGTGCTCGGCACGTCAATTTTGTAGCTTTCTGAAGGGCTCAGAAGCGACCAGGTCGTGGTCGAGTGCTCTGGGGCAATGTCGTTCGCTACAGCTCAGTCAAGCACTCAACGGCCACTATAAGCGGCAACATTGACAAAGATCAATTGGAGAACGAGAAATGTGCAGAGAGCCTCCTTCGACTTTTCGAGGGATCGTCCAGGGCGGGTTTCAGCAGCATCAAATGCCGACTGCAAGATTTGCGGCTGGTACCAATAGCACAACAGTTACCAGCTTGACCCTCGAGTAAAACACTCGACTCGCGTATATAGAGTGTCTCAAGCTATTGTTTCGCCAAAGGGTTTGCATAGTTGCGGCAGAAGGAGCCGTCTCCCAGATATGGCCACCTGCTCAACCACATTATCTGTCGATATCTCCACCTTTGTTGAGATGAACACCCGCTCAGAAAGAGGGAAATGGTATAGCTCTGGGGAGACCATTCTAGTGGGTTAGGTATTCAGATGAGTTCAATAGGACACTTGAGAACGAAGTTTCTTGCGAGCATTCGCTGACCCGTGTATCAGTAACAATGAGCTGGGGGATCAAACATGACCAGGGGTTGAGATGTTTTCTTGTTTCTGAATCAATACATCTTCTGCTGTCCTCCCGTGATTAAGACCGAAGTCGAGAGAATGTCCGAGCGATCTGCTGTGTGGGTTGCTTACTGGATAGATTTAGCTGCCTCGTCGCAGAATACGACAGGCGTAATTGCGGGTACATCTGGACCGTAAACTCGATCTTCCAGGCATCTTTGATATGGAACAAATGTCAAGTCCGACTGTTGACGCAAGTGAGTTATTGGGAGAAAAAGGGGGGGGGGTGCGAAATGGTCATAGGCTTTGGCCTTCCAGGAGCGGTACACTACACCCGCGTGATCCAAACACCAAGATTTGGCGTTTCCATAGCATAGACAAGAGTGTACGTAGAAGAGAATCCGAGCATCTATTCAAGAAAGATGCCCGACTTTCGAAGTTGCAGTAGTCAGCCCATACTAAAGAATAGCGAGTAACGTGAAAGTTGTGGGCTTTGGCCAGGGGATCGAGGGCTCTAAAGCAGCATCTTTAAGGAGAGGAGGCACGTGAGCAGGTGAACGCCAAGAGAAGTGCATCCTGACCTTAATGCGACTTCGACGATGATGGCAACGGGTATCACCAACAACCCCCATGCCCACGATTCCATCTATTTTGATTCTTTATACCCTATTCCCTTGACCTCTGTGATCCCTCGAGCCCTCCTATCGCAGAGATCCAGTCACTATACCTCCGGAACCCCTCCGAAGTAATCACCGACCGGCCTCTGCCCCTCATGATGCACGTTTGCCAAACTGCGTCGCATCACGGCCGAGGAGCTTTTGACGAGCTTTCGGCTCCTTTGGAGTAACGATCTCAGTGTATGGGAGACCGTGAGACCTTGATCGCGTCCGGTGGAGCGCCATCATGGCTGCGGTCATGGCGAAGCCCGCGGGGACGGCAACTAAGATGAAAAAACCTCCTGCGCCTATCGTGCAAACAAACTTGAACGGTGTCAAGCCCACAGCGCCGTCTTCCTCGCCTTCCAGTGCGCGGAAGACGCTTCCTGGACAGAGCACGACACCAACGTCCGCTGTCAGTAACGGCACAATTACAAATGGCGCTCCCCGTTCCAATCGACGGGTGCAGCGCCTGACGACGAGAAATAACACGGCTGATGGAGGATCTCTGGACAAGCGTGCTGCTAGGAAATTTCCAGAGCCTTATGGTATGATCCTATCATTTTAGGCCAGCGAGCAGGCGACACTGACAATTGCGCTTCCAGTTCCCAAAGAATCCCACATTCTCCGCAAATTCAAAGGTTGCGCGCCCTCCCTCATCGTGCACCTTCATCCTACGCGTTTCCGATTCGACCAGCAGGATGGTAGTTTCAGTTACCACTCCGAGATGCGTGTCTTCCTTGAGCATTTGGCTAGAGGCACGATCCCACATGACATGGTAGAAGAGTTTCGGAAGTCCGAGGTAAAATACTACGACGGATGGCTCATTGTCCGGGTGGTCGACCACAAGTCAGCCGCAAAGGACGCTGCGGCTTCCGGGGCCGCTGCAGACGACGAAAAGCCGTTCTCCATCCACAACTATAATCAGTACATTACACCCTCACCCTATGCACCATATCCTTCCAAGGAACAATCGGTCACAAAGTCCCCTTCTCTTAAACAAGAACAAGCCTCGAGTGATGGTCGCGCACATCCTGGCTCCGACGATACAATCGATGTCGCACCAAAATCATCAAAACCGCAGCCGAGAGTCTATCACGTTGCCCTGCGCCCAACGATTCTGTCGCGACATATGGATCTCGTGATTGATGCCATGACGCCAGATCCAAAGTCACTGAATCGGAAACAATCACAAGCAAACGTGAATAGCCGAGCACCCGGTGGTGGCGTTCCACAGACCCCGATATCAGCCATTCCGCCGACTCCTTCGAGTGAAAAAGGGCCGCCCTTCAAGAAGATCAAGCTGAAGATTGATCCCAAGGATATGCTGGAATACGAAGGCAGGGTGGTAAATGCGACGGCTCCTCCTCTATATCTCGAACCTGTGGAGAGCCTGGAGGAAGCAGAAAGCCTGATGACCCTGCTGAAGGATCCTCTTCATGACCAACGACCGCCATCACCAAAGAGTCGGAAACGGACAGTCGCCGAACTGGCGGCAGATGACGCGCATGCCAAGGAACAAGAACGGTTCATGCTCATTATGGATGAGCGAACTGCAGGTACCAATGGCGCTGCAAATGCAGCTGGCGTGGATGGCCAAGCAGCCGCGGCTCTCTTCCAGCCTCGCTTCGAGAAATTCAATGCTCTTGATAGTATTAAGCGTGAAATCGCGGAGCGGAAGCAGCGCGAGAAAGACCGACAGCTACAAGAAGATGAAAATCGAAGAGGCCAGCAAGAACGGATGCAGGAAGAGGAGAAGAAGCGCATCATGATGCAACGTGCTCAGGAAGCCCGAATGCTGCGGGCTCGTCAGCAAGAGATGGCGGCTGCAATGGCAGCACAGCAGGCCCAGCAGCAGCAGCAACAACAACAACTCCAGCAGCAGCAATCGCAGCCTCAAGTTGTCCAGAGACCCTCCTCCCAACAAGTTAATGGCATACCTCCGAACATGCAGAACCAAATGATAACCGGTCAGCAGCGGGGATCACCCATCATTCGGCAGGGAACGCCACATGCAGCCTCCTCGCCAATTGTCACAAGCGCTGCTCAAGGCGGCGTGCCCATGGCGATATCTAGTTCTCAACAAGGGCACGGATCTCCGCCAAGACCCGGCTCAGCCGTACAGCATGGCCACCCCAGCGCCCCTATGACCCGGGCCCCCAGTACCCAAGGGCCAAGCCGTAATGGCACTCCACAGATCCCTCACGGTACTCCTGCGCAAAGGAACGCTACGCCAATAATGCGACAGAATACTCCAGCACAGCCAGTTCCCCATGGTAGCCCTCACGGAGCTACCCCACAAATGGTAGCTGCGGGAATGATGCCAGGAATGCAAGGGCAGATGCCAAATGGCGTGCCCAGGCAAATGAATCCTCAACAGTTGGCCGAGATGCAACGACGACATAACATGCAGCAACAGGCTGCGGCACAAGCCCAGCAAGCAGCGATGCAACACCAAATGGTCAACGGAACACCGCAAATGTCGCCTGCTCAGGTGGCGCACATGCAGGCACAACATCATGCGCAGGTAGATCGGCAAGCTGCACTGGCTCGCCAAGCCGCTCAACAACAGCAACAACAGCAGCAAGCCATGCAGCAGCAGCAAGGGACACCCCAGAGCGCACACATGTCCCCCAACCCTGCTCAAAGTCAGAAGGCCTACAATCAATCCGTCGCCGAGCATGTCAAGGCTCAAATGCAGAGCCTACAGCAAGCGCAAACTCACGGATCTCCAGCACCAAATCATATGACGCCTCAACAGCAAGCAGCCCAACTTGCCCATGCTCAACAGCAGCAACGAATGATGCAAGCAGCGCAAGCGCAAGCGCAGGGACAGATGATGGGAACAGGCGTTCCCCACCCCCAACAACGACCCCAAGTGGATCCTCAATTGAAGCAGCTGTTCCAGCAAACACTGCAGAGCTATACACAACGCTTCGCGCAACAAGCAGCCCAGAAATATGGCGGAAACGTGCAAATGCTTCAACCGCAAGAAATGCATCACGTCCAAATGCAAGCTCAGAGGTTTGCACATGCAGCCATCCAGAAGCGCCAGGCAGCAATGAATCAAATGGCACAGATGCAGCAAGCTCAGGTGCGGCAGCAGATGGCGCAACAGGGTGGCGGCATGCAAAATGGAATGATGAACATGCAGAATATGCAGAACATGCAAGGAGGAGTCAATCCGAACATGGCGGCGGTGCTGCAACAGCAGCAGGCCCAGCAGATGCAGCAGATGCAGATGCAACAGGCGCAGCAGATTATGGCGGCACAGCAACAACAGCAGCAGCAACAACAACAACAAAACATGCAGTTCCAGCAAAGATGATTGAGTCCTCACCTTCCCCGAGGTTAGGGCTGGAAGGAACAGGCCGGGGTGCTTATTCCTTCCCATGTTCTTTATATTGGATTCTGCTTTATTCACCGGCATTAAGTTCAGGGGTTTTACGACTGGGTGGACGTTCTGCATCTATACCGACCTGGCTGGCGGCGTCTTGGACCATAGCAGGCGAGCCTTGCTTCTTGGATTTCTTTAACCCATGTGGCGACTTCGGTTTGACAAAGGTTGGGGGAGACCGGGTTTCACAGTCTATTGCTCACCGAGAACTGGAGTTTGATGCACGGTGTTTCGTTTGCTGCTTGCCCCGGTTGGGCTTTGAGTTGATCTATGATGTCCATGAAAAGAATGACTGCAATTCTGGCTGGCGGCGTGAGGAACGAGGGGTCGATTTACGCACAGATGGGTCTTGGTTCCATAATCTGATGTGATGTGGCTGGGTTGCAGGGGCGATGCTGATACCAAGATAGTCTTCCAGGTCAATGGTATTTGCCTGGTTGTGTATATTGCTAAATTAGTCTTTTGACATACTGGCACCAGTATTTAGATTTATTATTATTATTATTACGACACTGTCAGAGTGTTTCTCTCCTTGTCGCCCCAGCTTGTCTCTTCACCTGACTAATACCTAGTACATTCCCCCATGGGCCTTGCTATATTATTGGTGGCTGCGACTATTCCCAGATTGGAAGATGGTCTAACTGTACAGGATATTAGGCCGAATCTTGAGTCTGGGGACTCGTCAGACCATGTCTATTTTGCTATAGCAAGTATCACCGTCAGACACAAGTTTCTGCTTCTTATCTCCGTCACCCGGATGTAATATTGTTCTTTGCAGAGGCAGTTCTACATCTCTGGTCAAAGGTAGTAATGTCCATGCCCCAATATTTAGCATTCGGATAGGCAGGTCGATTACAAGCGCATGGACATTGATGTGGCAGTGAAACGAGAAGCGGCATTGATGAGTTGACTCGACGAATCAGTCCCCAGGCCAGAACCAGTCTCAACTGCCGTTTGACAGTCATGTAAGTGTTGATCTGGCGAATAGAGTAAACAGAAAATGCTCTCGACGTTGCCTAGTACACGGCAGCCGGACCCATCTGGCCTGCACCCGTATCTTTCTCCTCGGTGGCTGACCCCAGACTCCATAATAGGGCATCGCCTGGACCTTCACCTGTATTCATCACTGGATATCCCAAGACAAAAAGCGAAAAGACACAGTCTCGGAGCGCAGTGAGGGCTAATGCATCCAGGCTGCGTTGGCGAAAAGGCACCATCCCAGTCGTTGCTCATCCTGTGCGAAGCCATGGCCACCCTACACCACGAACCAATCTGCCAACCACAGACCACGATGTTATTCCGCATCAGGAAGGACACTACGGGTCTCAGTCTAGGCTTGTTCGCCATGAGACTGCATTGATGTCGGCCTGCCCATGGCTCTCGGGGAACGAACAGGAACAGCAACCGCCCGAGCAGAGACACCATCGAACGCCGCTCGACTTGTCTTCTTTCACGCTCCTGCGCGCGCTGACCCTTCCTCTGCCTGTATCGTTCCCACAGCTGGCTCTGTTCTCAGATCACGAGGTCAGATATCTCCTCAAACAACTCTACGAGACCCTGAGTCAAGCACTTCCCGCCAGCAGCTCAGGGGAGAATGAGCTTGCCGCAATATGGGTGCGCACCATTATGTCAGACGCAGGCATTCTGTATGCGTATATGTTTTCGCAGCTCATGAGGAATAAACACAAGCACCGTTTAGACCGGATCGCCGAACACCAGCTCTTGCACGCCTATTCCGAGACTGTCACCTACGTCAACACAGCCCTGTCTAATCGCGGGACGGCTTGCAATGATCGCACCCTACTCGCTGTCTTCACTCTCGCCTACCATTCCATGACGCTCGACTCCCAGCCTCCGCAAGATCCGCCTCGCGGTCCGGCTCAGGGACCTCTCAACTCTCTGCGCCTACTCAACCTATACGGCGGACCACTCGGAGCCGTCTCGATCCATCGCGAGGGGCTCTTGAAGATGATTGAACTTCGTGGTGGGATTGGAAAGTTTACATTACCTGGCCTGGGGGGCCTTCTTTGCTAGTAAGAGATATTTGCTTGAATATCGCACGAAGAGAAGTTTGACGCTTGTTTAAATTACAGTGCAGACCTCATCTTTGCCAGCCGCACGGTCCAGAGACCACGACTTCCTTTCAGTCCGTGTGTCAGCGTGGACTTTGAGAGCGTCCTGAGGCGCGCCTGGAGAGCCGACCACCCGCTCCACAGACTAGGCAAAGGGTTTTCCACACTGGACCATTTCGATTCCTCGCTGAAGTCGTTGGACCTCCAGGTCGCGGTGCGGGGTTTGAGTCAGTATACTCTCGCAGTGGATGACTATCTTCAAAACCGGCCCGAGGCACCGAGTCTAGCCGTGCTGGAAGAGCTGAGATGTTTCGTGATGCACGGGATGCTATCTCTGACACCCGATCTAGACGAGCCTTGCGCTGCCGGGGTCGAGGTGCTCCAAGCATGCCACCTCGCCGCTCTCACCTACGCCATGCTTTGCGTCTTCCCACTCCCAGCGGCCCCGTTTGACCTTCTGGCCAGGCACGTGAGGCTGTGTCTGTCACGCTGCACCTCCGCGAGGGCATGGTCCGACGCCCCGCATCTCATGCTATGGATAACAGTTGTCGCGGGTGTCGCTGCCACAGGCTCGGGCGGCGATACACGAGCCTGGTTCGTGGGTATAATCGATCGCTACCGGCGAAAGCTGAAGATCGATTCCTGGACCGCCCTCAAGGAAGACGTCTTGCTCGAGTTCCTGTGGTTACCCACCACCAATGACGGCGACGGCATTGAGCTGTGGGACGAGATCGAATCCTCGAGGTCTTGAACTCTGTGTGACTTCAGTTTCCGGCAGAGAAGATGGCACCGCTTTCGATATGTTTCTGTGTATCACGCATACTCTCTACCATCCACCCTGCGCTTTGTGGTGTTGCTCACAGGTAGCTCGATCAGTGACATGTCGCATCAGATGCGATTCGCGGCAGGGTGATACACGACAGAGATATAAGAGGTACCCACCAAACGACACTTCGCTGTGGAGGTATGTATCTATTTCAGTCTACTCGTGCATTTCTCTCCCTCGTCTCTTTCCGCGCGTATCAAACTTACCAGAAGCGCACATGAGGCACAGACATGTAGCCATACAGCAGACCATCGGCTGCGGCGAGCTCCACGAGATCCCATGACCGCCCTCGTCAATCGCAGTACTTACCATACAAGTACACGAGACGGAGTGTTCCTGGTCTTTGATCCGAGGTCACATACATCGATAAAGAGCCTGAACTGGCCGGTAAAGAGGAAGAGAGAGGAAGAGGAAGGGGGAAGAGAAGGAGAAGGGCAGAGAGCCGTGGATCATCCATGAGGAGAGAAGGAATGAAGGATCTCAACTCAACTCAACTCATCATCAACTCAGTCGCTTTTCCTCTCGCTCTCGCTCTCGCGCCTTTCCTGTGCAGAGAATCCCACAGAACCGAGCCAGTCCTCCCGCCCGGCTGTGGCTGTGGCTGTGGCTGAGACCAGCATCATGACGGCTCGAGGCGGCTCTGCGTGGACACGGACGAGCACAGGTACGAGAAGTACAAATACAGACCACGACAACCCCCAAACCCCACCAAATTGATGGATGGAAGCGCCGAGCTTGGAAGAATGGGCGGGCGGGTAGCATGCGCACACTGTCCTGACGAGGGAGAGCTGATGACTGGAAGATGGAACAGAAGGGAGAAGCCAGTGGGTGGTACTCGTCAACCACCACACTTTTAGGTATCATGGGTTCGAAAACTTTTGCCCCGGTCAATCAATGATCCGGGTGCAATGTCATTTAGTCGTGTCTATACTTGTAGTCCTTCCTGGGTTCCTAACCCGCCATCCATGTCGAAACCGTCCCGATTATACCTCAACAATATATCCAAAAAGTGCACACAGCACATTCCCACAATGGGGCCCCCATCTGGTCTGGGGTTTTCGCCCATCTACAGCTCCTTTTTCAGGAAATGCTCTGGTCGATGCTCGAATTCGTAGTCAACGTGCACATAGGCTCTCTCCACGTTGGGGAGACTCTCCAGCTTCATCTGCAGGTCCTCTGCAATGTCGTGGCTTACTCTCAAGGACTCGTCAGGGTCCATGACAACATCCACCTCCACGACCAGTCTCGGACCGCTGTGCCACGCTCTGACAGTGTCGATATGCTTGATGTGGTCGGAATGTGTCATAGAGACATACGTAATGAGCTGCTGCGTTTCAGTGTCGGCGGAAATACCGATCAGGAGCTGGAACTCGGAGTACGCGGTATGTAGCCACAGGATGGAAATCAAGACAGAGAGAACAATGGCACCAGCAGGATCGATCCACCAACGCAACTTGCTACCACCCACAGAGGTCAACACACCAAAGCCGTTGATGAACAAGTCGTTGCGGTGATCTTCCCAGAGAATGCGGACTTGGGAGTATTGATTTCTGAGTGCCCAGCAGTAGAGGAAAAGGCCGAGCTTTGTGCAAAATGCCACGGTCACAGCCACAACTGACGGTAGATGGAACTTTTTGGTTTCTTCGCTTGAACCTTCCACCAGTTCCCGTACAGAAAAGGCAATGAGGATGAAAGAGACAGCTGTCATGAGGAAACAGAACACAATGTTTCCAGCGGTTTCTATCCGTGCTCTGCCAGCGGGAAATTTGCGCGCATCGACTTTGTTGACGGCTTTATTAGATAATATGAGGGTAATGTTGGACAGGGGGTCGAAGATGGCATCCGCCATGGTTGTGAATAGCGACAGCGAACCTGAAGCTACAGCGCCATAGACTTGTAGCACCGCAAGAATAATGTTTGCCACAAACGAGCCATATACGGCGATCTGGTACCGCAGCTGGTTGGATGTTTGAGTGTCTCTTGCCTCCCTGACATGCTCATCTACTGGCTTCAGTAGCCGCTCGATCTGTTCATTCTGCGACTCGTAGAAGTTTGTGATCTTGGACTCTTGGGTATGCCCCGCCAGGTGCAGTGGGTTGCAGGCATTCCGTTTTCGGGCTGTGTTGGCCGTGATCCTCTCGAGCTCCGACCGGGATTTGAGACGACGACTAAGGTCTAGAGGATCGGATGCGGAGGCATGTGTGGGAGATTGGCTCTCGGTGTCAAAGGTTGAGGCGGTCCGATGGCGGGAGATCATAGCTTCGCTGTTCTCTATAGTAGCGGAAGCCGCGGAGCTCTTAGCCTCGCCGTGCAAAAGGTGAGGGTTAGGCATTGGTTGGTAGATTTCGTGAGCGAGTGTACGGTGATGAGGATTTTGGGTGAGCTCCATGAAGTGCTGTGGTCTCGACCCCATCGTCGCTCAAATGGGCTTGGGTCAAGTCTGTGGTAGACAAAATCAAGCAAGAAGTGAAGAGAAAGGACGAGGGCGGTGGAAGTGAGTCGTTGTTGGGTACGTTGACGGGTTTTGATCTCACCGTCTCTCAATAGAGGTGGGGGTTCACAGCCACAGAAACTGCATACATCCAACTCTTGGATACCAATGACCTATGCTCGTTGTCCTAACCAGCCGCCAGCTCCACAGATTCCAAGAAATTATACACAAAGAATCATGACATCTAGTGCCCTGGCCGAGGCAAAAGCCAAGTCGCGAAAGCTCCGTTGACTTGCGCGTCTTCTCGTCATGCGCCCTGCATCGCCTCATCAATCACCAGAGCATCGGAACATCCTTTCTCTCTACTCTCATCCACAAGCTTTATCCTTCACCCTACCCTACAAGTATATCTATCGCTGAACATTACTCCATCCCAGATCGTCCAAATACCAATCACCAATCATGGCATTTTTTTTCGTCGTTGGCACCAAAGGTGAGGTCACTCTAAGCTGCGGACCGGACCCCTGCCTGGCGAACTGCGCTTGCTAACTGTCTTGCCCAATCTAGACTTCACCAGCTCCTTGAAGGGTTATGAAGGAGTGACTGCCCAGTGTCACAATTGCGGGAACTGGTCTGCGCACCCCATTCAATCGTGGGACTGGTTCACCTTCTGCTTTGTTCCTATCATCCCACTGGGCGGGAAGCATAAAGATGTTTGTTCCATGACTTCATGCGACCTTGTTGCACCACCTACTAACTGTGCCTCTAGTTAGCCTGCTCTATCTGCAGATTTCGACAAGATATGAGGTACGATCACCATAACGAACATGCTATGTCGAACCAGCGCAGAAATCTAACTTGCGATCCAGAAATCGACCCGACGTTGGCTCGATGCAAGGTCAGGGACCTATAGCGCCTCCACAGGGACCTCCGCAGGGATGGGGTGGCCCTCCGCCAGGACAAGGATCGAATTATAAGTGAGACAACGTGGTACATCGAAGAAGAGAAAAACACAGGCTGAGTTGTGGAGTCGATACGCATGATACCCGAAAACCACCTCCGTTTATCACTACTTGAACCTTTCGCAATGTCATCTTCCCTACGGCGCAGTTAGGGTTGCTGGGATCGAAGCGCCAGGGCGTTGTGACGGTCGCGCCCCAACAAACGAGGCAGAGGCCATCGAGTCACACCGAGTCTGATACATTGCGCATTGTCTTGGTTGGATGCGCACCTCCGAACTACCTACAAGACATGTGTTGTGTAGAGAATGCGGACTGCAGTCCCATGCAGAATCGTAGTCTACTGCCGCGTCCCTCTCGGTTACTGCGAAGCGAATCTTGACCATGGATCATATCTACAGCATTGCTACCTGCGGCCTACCCTCGGCACTCGAAGAAGTAGCCTGCGGTCCAAACACCCAAGCACTCCTGTTTATCGTCCACGCAAGCACAATCCCGACATGACTTCTGGATTAGTGGAGAGTTGTCTGGTTGGAAATGATAGGAATTTGCTGAAAATGACTGATCACGTCACTGGATCTGCTCGTGCTCTGCGCATTGACCCGTTGATTGATCGGGGTGGACCAAGTGTGCAAGTTGACACAACCGGATGCATCTGCTTACGTTGGTTGCAATTGGAGGCGCGTGCAAAAATCGATCTTGAGGGATTCCAGATAGCTTGTAGGCAAACTCATGCTATTTCATTATGTGAACATAATACGTCTTTTGGCATGATCCAGCATAGTAAACAACCAAACGTTCGACCATGAGCAGCCGCAGTCACGTGTCCGCGCGGCCCAAGGCGGTGAGACGCGGCAGAATAATTGTGAGTCTTGAATTAGTTTTCATCAACACAAAAAGCACCAGCTGGTTTCTTCCTCTTCTTCTACGCGCCGCTCCCCATCCGCTGCGTTCTCTGCTACACGCAACGACTTGCTCCTGTTTCCCAACAGTCGAGCAATTGTTTCCTTCCTTGCAGATGAGAAATTCGGAGTAATCTTCAGACTTTTACACCTCTGACCTTGAACCACTCTGTGGCTTCGAGGCACATGGTCCTGCCCGCGAGGGCCCGGCACGATTTTTACCGTGCTCGCAATTGGCATCAGAAATGTACAGGGCCTCAAGGTCGGCATCCGCGTGGTGTTTGTGTCTTGAGGGATTCCCTTTGGAAGAGCCGTTGCGAAGATTGTCTGAAGGTCACCTGTGTGACCTTCCTTACTTGAGTGCAATCGCAGCGGAAACCTATCTACTTCCTCTTTGGAGTGATAGGGTTTCAATTCGATTCCGATTACTCTGGGGAGCGGCGCCGTCTCTTTTTCTTTTCATGTAAGTTGTTGGTTCCTGGTTCTCGAAGATATAGGATACTACTGACGTTTGGACAAATCCCACGCCATCACCTCCTTGCAGGCTTGGGATTATCAGTGCCCATTCACACCGTTCACCCCATTGACGCCATTCACGCCATTTGTCTGCGGTTCGGCCGAAAATTGCCTAAACGTATCCAAGTCCACGTGTCTCAGAGCACTATCCTCAGTTGCCTCCAACACCACTTTCGGGACGCCATTCCTACTAATCCTCCCGTCTCTGTATGCTTGAAACGCCTCTAGCCATCTCGCCGTGCAGAGACACCACTTGCAACCTCCGGACAGACCTGCTACCCGCAAATCATTCCCTTGCGAAGCACTGAAGTCCAGGAACTCTTCCGTCACCACACCAGCCACGGCGTGGTTACCAAAGTCTGCAGCCCCTGTTCTACAATATCCATCTCGATAGAAACCAGTGACCGGACGATTCGAGAAGAAGGCCAAGGGTTGCCTGAAAACTGCGCTGGATTAGTAGGGTTGATGTTGGTACAACGAGCCGAGATTACACAGTAAGAGCACGGCTCAATTCAATGTCACAACTCACCATTCAAGTGAGAAGCCATATTTTCCTCCCTGACTGCGGGCGGCGGCGGCGGCGGATGCGACTTTCCTGAAGCTCCAAACAGGGGAATTTGGAGAACTCGCGCTCTTAGGCTGGGCCAGAGGCTGAAGTTGCGGACTAAGCGCGTTGTTGGATGGTTCGACCGCATTAATTCATTTACCGCTTTTCGACGAATCGTCTTCCACTATTGCTAGACAAGGTGTCAATACCCGACCCTCAGCATAACAAAGCAACTTGTGTGTATGAAACGTGAAGTCTGGTGGAAGATCAAGAAATGGTGACGTCAAAATTGCTCGAAGTGCAAGCAAGCATTTGCCAAGGCAGTCGAACGAGCGGAGGCAGCCTCGAAATCTCCAAATTGGGGTTCTCGAGATTGGTCCCTCTCGACATGCATCATACTCATTAAAGTGTGGCCCCAATTCCCCTTTCAACGCAATCCCAAACTTCGCTTTCAAGCAAGCGTCGGTGACTCGGGAACAGCTATCGGCAATTCCTTTCACCCATATCGAGTTATATATGGTCAAGTGCATCTGGCTGGATTCATGTACTGGATTCGGAGCTTTGCCGTGCCAGCCTTGAGGTTTCTCGTTTAGGGTGGAGATCGAGACACCGCCATTGGTCTTCTCACAATAGCAGTGGGCGATCACCTTACCCCTTCCCCATGTCCTTCAACCCGAGAAATTTCCTGCTGATGCGGAGAGTTCTTTCGTGACCGACTTACGTGGAGGTGAGGAAATGCCCCATATCCTCGTGCTGGTGCTCGACGCCAATCGACGAATACGTAGACATGCTCATGGCTTTCTCCTGTGATGTTCATACTTATAATACGCAGGCTGCTGCTCAAAAGTTCCAGCGCTTGCCAGCCTCGAATCAATTGATAGACTAGTTGAGATCAGAGAGATTCCACTGTCCTGGGCCTTTAGTTGTTTTATCAAGCCTAGCATCAATTTTACAACATATCATTTTGCCCTGTTTGTTTGCTTGTTCATCATCAAGAACAGCGACAGACAATCCAAATCCCCTACAAGTCCCAAATATGCCCGAGTTGAATGTTGGAATCTGTGGCGCCGGCATCGGCGGACTGGCGGCGGCTATTGCCATCAGTAAAGCTGGTGCAAAGGTGACGGTCCTGGAAGCTGCTCCTGAACTCGGCGAGATTGGTGCTGGTATCCAAATGACGCCCAATGTGGCCCGACTGCTCATGAAATGGGGCGTGGACAAAGTGATTGGCGATGATCTCGTCGAGTTCGAGGAGCTGAACATGAGAAGAAAAGATGGCACCTTGATTGGGTACACGAAAACCATCCCTAACGTCCGCAAGTATGCTTGTCGATCTCACCCGAACCACAAGCATGTTACACACTAACATCTCTGAGCTATTTGGGTGGTGTGCCCTGGTGGTTAGGTGAGCGGCGTCCTCCTGAAATTTGGTGGTTCAGCCTGACACGGAGATAGTTCATCGAATGCATCTCCACGCCGGTTTAGCAGAAGTGGCATGTCGCGAGGGTGCAAACCTCGTGATCGATGCTCGGGTGGAGGAAATCGACTGGACCTCGTCTCCGTCCAACAAAGTCACAGTCACCACGGCTAAGGGTCAATCATGGACATTCGACCTACTCATTGGCGCAGATGGAGTACGTTCCACGGTCCGCAAAGCCATCATGCCTCATGTCAAACCCGCGCCTCCAACGGGCAACTGCGCATATCGAGCCATCGTCCCCTATGATGAGATCCGACGAGACCCTGTCGCCAAAGAACTCATCGAGAAACTCACCATGGAAGTCTGGATGGCCGACAAGTCGTACATCATTTCGTATCCCATTTCCAATGGCAAACAGTTCAATATGGTTCTGAGTCACCACGTGGACCATCTAGTTGACGATGTCCAGGACATCGACATGGAGAAGGACTTTCGACAGACGTACAAGGACTACGATCCGAGAATCAAGAGGATTGTCGACATGGTTACTTCTGCCAGGAGGTGGCCGTTGCTGGTCACTGGACCGTTGGAGAGCTGGTCAAGCAAGAAAAAGAACATTGTGTTGATGGGGTATGGATACTGATAAACTTCTCCTGGTATCCGTTGTACTAATTCTGGTGTTCATTTCAGTGATGCGGCACACTCCATGACCAACCACATGGCGCAAGGAGCAGCGACTTCAATGGAAGACGGCGCCTTCATAGCTCGAACATTGGCAAAAGTCGTGGAGGATAAAATTACTATTGCCCAAGCCATCGAGATCTACGAGAAGACGCGGATGCCAAAGGCGTACTACAAGCAACAGGTGTCATTTATCAACGGCGCCATCTGGCAGGTTCCAGATGGCCCCATTCAAGAGGTAACCAGCTCTTTTGCCCCCTTCGAGTGGCTCACCAGCGAAAGAGGTGTCTGGATCAGATAGCTGAACCGAGGAAATATGCAGGCACGCGACAGAGCCATGGCTCCCGAGGTGAAGGGCGAGCAATTCATGCGCTCGCCGAATCTGTATGGAGACCCAGTGACAACCTTGAGGTTCGTTCGCCCCCATCTAACCCAACCGACTTGCGCGTGCAGCTTACCTAAAGTATGGCCATGGCTGACATGAGGTCAGTGTGTACGGGTACGACGCCGAAGAGGACGCGGATATCGCCATCAGGGCATATCTCCAGAAATGCGAGCCATACGATGTAAACACCGGAGTAACCGACCGTGAGCTGGAGCGCTTCGTGGGATGGTGGTGGCCAAAGGACAAGATCCCGCTCACGGCTTCAAAACTGTGAACGACATGGCGACTCCAGGGGTGAGGTATATCTATCGGCATAAGGCAGGTGAGGATTGAATATAGACAAGGTATGGTGTGGAATGGGAAGTTTGGAACAAAGAGGTATCATTGCTTTGTGTCTTGGGTGTCCATGTGGACTATGGAGCGGCTGAGAATGTTGTAACAAAGAAGGGAATGAACTATCCAAGAAGGACAGAGGAAAATGTCTTCACCTGAATTTCACCTTTGTCTCAGACACATGATCGACCTGCGGCGCATGTGCAAGGGCTGTCTGCTGTCGTTTATCAGCCTGACTTTTTGTACCGCTCCTCACCTCTCTCTTTTGCGATTGTTCCCGCGGGCACGCTGTTCTCATTCATAGGGCACCCATTCATTCACGGTTAACGTCACCTGTAATCCGATAACGATAACGATAGCGATAGCGAGCACGCCCTCTCCATGGTCATGATTCCCAACACCGAGCATGGCGATGGTGGCGGTGATGGCGGTGGTGCCGTCCACCAGTGGAGCTTGGAGGACTCGTCCCCTTCGAGTGAAGTTCAGCACTCATACCCCCTCCTTCACAGTGACGACTACGTTGCCCTTTTCACCAACACAGCATCACATGAATTCAAGACAGCGGTGGATGAGTTTTTGGCGCCGCTTGACGACGACGAAGAATACAACGGCAGAGTAGACATCAACCGTGGAATTGATGAATTCAAACCTCCCACAGTCGACAAAGAGGTCCAAAATGAGGAACCTAGCGACGCAGACCTACTACCATTTGTTGCGATTGAGCAATACATCCCCGGCGTTAACGACCTGATGAGCGGTGCGGTCTCACTCTTAGACAAAACAAGTACCGACATGACCCAAGACGACAACATCATGTGCATGCACGGCCTGGAGCGCCGGCTCATGCCCTTCAAGGTCCTCCCACAGAGAGAGCTCTTCGGCCTGGGCCTACCGTTCGCCGACGAGTCGTCGCTACAGGAGCTGCCAAGCGGGTTTCTGACCACGGTCCGCGGCCTCGAGCGTGCGGTGGGGGAATTCTACGCCAGCGACCCGGACGTCTTCGCCGACGACATCGAATCCGACGTGGCGCTCCTGGGCATGATCGCCAAGAGAGGCGGGCTCGCACGCACCAAGTTCCAGCAGGTCGTGTATCCAGAGGAGATCGTGCCGTTGGACAACTCGGGCTTTGTGCTGGAGGAAAACTTCGAGTCTAGTGGAGGAGAGCAGGACGACCAGGACAAGGAATACTGGGCAGAATTGCAAGAGCAAGGGCGGATTTGGGACGAGCTCTACATTCCTTGAGAAAGTTGTGATTCGCTCTCACGAGTGATTGGAAATTGGTTCTCTTGGTCTACCTTGTACAGGGAGAGAAGGGAAGGTCCGTACCAGTTGAGTGTCGTTGGGCATCATGATCTGAGTTCTCGTACCGGAAGACTGGCGGGACGATTGGATATTCATTCGGAGTTGAGGATGGCTGAATGCTCAGGATCAAAGGAAACGGAACGAACAAGCAACGGCGGCGACGATGATGATGATGAGGACGCAACCAGTAGAGAGAATCCCATGATTCCACCAATAGGATATAGCCTTGGCAGACAATCCGCAGCCTAACCGCTTCGGGGCAACTGCTCCAAAATTTCTATGGGCGAAAAAAGAATTGGCTGCTGTTGCATCTCTCCGAAAAATCGCAGTTTTGCCCAAACTCAAGCAGCAGACTGCGCTTTGTACAAATTAGTTTTTCTTCTATTGCTATTCAACTCTTAGCGCTTAAAAAAGACTCGAGCAGCGTCGACCCTGCGCTACGATACCATACCCCGGAAAAGCAACTTGGACTTCTAAAAAAAAAAGCACTAGAGATATGGCGTTTGGCGGCGCGCCGCGAGGTGGTCGTGGTGGTGGACGAGGTGGTCCTCCTAGAGGAGGCGCAAGAGGCGGACGAGGAGCTGGGAGAGGTGAGAGAGACCTTAAACCGTCTGCTGCTTGATCTGCAGGCTTCCAGTTTTGAAGACGACTGCGTGAATCGGTGGACTGACAAACATCTCTTTCAAATGAACAGGTGGTGGTGGTTTCGGTGGACGAGGCGGCAGGGGCGGTGGCCGAGGCGGTCCAGCCAGAGGTGGAAGAGGTGGTGGGAGAGGAGGCGCAAAGCCCGGCATCAAGGGCGGAGCGAAAGTCATCATTGTATGTCCTCTCTACCGATCCGACATGATTGTTCTCCAGCCCGATCGAATAAGAGATGGAAACGTGAGAGATTAGCTGACAAGAGCCTTCATTTGCGCAACAGGAGCCCCACCGACATCCTGGCGTCTTCGTCGCACGCGGCGGCAAAGAAGACCTGCTCGTAACGAAGAACCTCACCCCCGGCGAAAGCGTCTATGGCGAAAAGCGCATCAGCGTTGACTCACCCAGCGCGAACCCCGCGGACCCAGATGCTCCGGTTACCAAAACAGAATACAGAGTCTGGAACCCGTTCCGCTCGAAGTTGGCTGCCGGTATCTTGGGAGGATTGGACGACATTTACATTAGGCCGGGTGCTTCAGTGCTGTACCTGGGTGCTGCGTCAGGCACTTCGGTTTCGCACGTCGCAGATATTGTCGGACCTACTGGCCGTGTATACGCAGTCGAATTCTCCCACAGATCTGGAAGAGATCTCATCACGATGGCAACACACCGCACCAATGTGATTCCCATCATCGAAGATGCCCGCCACCCTCTCCGCTATCGCATGCTCGTGGGTATGGTGGACGTCATTTTCGCGGACGTGGCGCAGCCTGATCAAGCACGTATCGTCGGCCTCAACGCCCATTTGTTCTTGAAGGTCGGTGGAGGCGTGGTGGTCAGTATCAAGGCAAACTGCATCGACTCCACGGCCAAACCGGAGGTTGTGTTTGCAAACGAGGTCAAGAAGATGCGGGAGGAGCGGATCAAGCCCAAGGAACAGCTGACACTTGGTACGTATTGCATCTCCATTCGCTCTCCTGATATATCCCCCCCATTCACCGCCAAATGCTGTTTCAATGTCCTGCATTTCTCGATATTCCGGACTTAAAGTGTTTGAAAACGCCTCAGTTCTATCGATTATCGGTCATCTTTGACGTGAATCAACTACACATATATATACTGACAAATTCCGTGTTTGATTTTCCAGAACCTTTCGAGCGAGACCACTGTATCGTGGCCGGCATCTACCAACACACTGCACAGTAAATCCCATCTCGTATGCCGCGAGGATGGAGCCAAGGGAGCGGAGCAAGCAAGCAATGGATTTAATGTAACAAACGATGCCCTAATGTCCAAGGAACCAAGAAAAAGAAAACCCCGCGCATGATAAACAAGTTGTTGTGCTTTTTTATCTTTGTGGTGTGTAGAAAACTGTCCCATTGACCTCGATTTTACAAATGGGCGTCGATGGTCGTGGAGACTGAGAGAGGTGCTCTTGCTCTTGCTCCAGCTTCACCATCACGGGACGGACAAGACCTTTGGCTGGCACGGCACGAGGAGCATCAAGATCAGAACCAACCCGAGCGCGAGCACAAGCAAACAGAGCGGTGCCAGACTGATTTCAAAGAGCGAATCTGCGCCGCACTGACACCGTTGCTGCACAGCGCATGTACGCACACCTTACCCCCCCCCAAAAAGCCCGAACAAAAGAAGAAAACGGAACGAGGGCGTTTGTTTGTTTGGATCGAGAACCTCAGGTACCTGACTTGGTCAACTCTGGTCTGGACAGGATCAGACGGTGTAAAGGAGTATGGCATGGCGTGCGTGGTATGACATGGGAGGAGGGATCAGGACAAGGATGGATAGGTACCTGCCAGTAGTAAATAGGTAGGTTAGCTGCGCTCGTTTATGGCAATTCAATGCGATCGATCAATAAAATTCAAAAAGTAGGGTCCCAGTCAATCAGTCAGTCAACCAGTCAAGTCAGTCGGTCAACAAGTTAACAAGTCAGAGAGCGTGCGCGGCGTAGAAGATCAGAACAGAACAGAAGAAAACAAGACCATTTCTTCGCTCTCATTATTATTACTTTTCTGGGTCATGACGAGGCGTGCGAGGGAGGCTGGCAGGTTGGCTGGGAGATAGCATCATCGTCATGTTTCGGGACTTTTGAATACCACATACTCTCTCTGTATGGCCTCTCTCTCTCCCATCCTGTCTATCTCCATCGTCTTGGAGGTTCTCACGCCTTGCCTGTACCCTGGCCATAGCCGCTGTAGCGAGCTACCCGCCTTTCCTATCTCGATTGAACCGCGACTGGACGGAGAGAGGCATTGACTTCATATACCACCTAGGCAAGTAGATAGTCCTCCAGCTCAAACCGCTCTCATTTTCCCCATCAACCATGCTGTTCTGTCCCCAGCTGATGGCCGATTGCCTGATACTTTTTTTTGTCCCTGGTTTCTTGCATCTCACATTGAGAGCCTTTGCCCGTCATTGCTAATTGCATAAAGGGCTACTATACATGCATGCCATAGCAAGTGCAGATGGTAGGCACTCATGGATGGTCCACTTCTCACAATATCTGCCCCCAGCCCGCATGATCCAAACTCCTCTTTCTCTGCGTCCAGGGTGCTGGCCCATATAGGACTTAGTCGCCCAGCTAGCGCCCTCTTCATGCAGAATGAGGAGATTGTTCCTCGACCAATAGCGTGTTGAATCGACAAGACCGTGCACAGTGCTTTTCGGCCTTCAGCTCAAACCACAGGGCTAAGTATATGCAGCGCTAGCAAGAGAAAGAGTGATATGTAGGCGCTTTGCAAGAACTCTCTCGGTTGTGATGAATGCAGTTCCGCAAGAAACGACGCAGGCGCTCTGCCTGGGATTTCTCCCCAAGTATCTTCGTTGGGAGGCAATTGGTTCTGACGTTCGAGCGAGATGAAAGACATGATACTTGCCAACATAACACTCTAACCTCTGCAACCAGGCACGATCCGAGGCTCATACCCTGACGAAAGCTACAGCAAGCATGGTTAGCAAACTTTCAACTTCTTATATCGAACAGGGTTGGGTGGGGGAAGCCATGACTTACTAGCATCTATCTGCGAGACTTGCGGCAAAGCCAACCTCACTTTATTCCTATACACCGCGGGCCCCTGCAATTGCAAGGGATTCATCTCAAAGTATACCGTCTCCAGATGCTCCTTGTCCCGCAGCTCCTGCTCGACCTCCCGGAAATCGCTTAGTTGGTTTGAACTCGCCCAGAACTCTTCTAGTTCTGTGAGGTGAGAGATGTTTTCGAGGTGGGAGATTTGGTTATTGGAGATGTCCAAGACACGGAGCTTTTTGTTGTTCGATAGGGCGTCTGCGGGGATGGAAGAAATGGCGTTGTGCGAGACGTAGAGTTCCTCCAGATTCGTCAGATCAGAGAGACCGCCTAATGATGTGAGGCGGTTGGATTTCAAGTCCAGCAGACGGAGATTCCGCAGAGGCGAGAGATTTCTGATTTCGGTAATCTTGTTCTTGCCCAGCCAGAGTTCCCGTAACTGGGTCAAGCTATCGAGGTTTTCAATCTCACGCAGGCGATTCGCACCCAGCTCGATCATGTTCAGGTTCGAGAGACCGTCCAGATTCTCAATCTTGGAAATGCGGTTCTGCACAAAGTACAACTCGGTAAGCGCGTGGAGGTGGTTGACGTGTTTGATGTGCTTGATCTTATTGAAAGACAGGTCCAGCGACTTGAGACACTTCAGGTCTTCGAGCCCTTTGAGGTGCGAAATGAGATTGTCATAGAGATCCAACTCTTCAAGTACCTCCCCCAAGGCCTCGGGGAGAAGGATAGAGGTAATGGCATTCTGCCGCAGGCACAGTCTTTTCAGTTTTGTGAAGCGCTCGAGTTTTAGAGCAGGTAGGGAAGAGATGCGGCAGTGCACCAGGTCGAGGTCCTCGGAATCGAGCGGCCATTCGTCCAACAGATCCTCGTCGGCTTCAATTTGTTCGACAGGAGGGGCATCGGGGTCTGAGTAGTCTGGGTCGGACAGGATTTCGGGGTTGGTCAAGACGGCGTTGCGAGCCGGCATGCGCAATTTACCATCCCAGCCATTGCTGCTGACGAGAGGCCCCGAAGCATGAGACTGGTGTGTAGTCGACTCGGGAGGTGGAAGTTCGATGTGGGCGTGTTTGTCTTCGTCGTTGCCCTCCACTTCAGGTTGCGGGTTATTTGGAGGGGCAGATTGCTGATCCTGGGCTCGTTCCGCCATGACAATATGCAAATGCTATATGGGACCGTAGGAAGGGGAACGCAAGAGAAGTCGATGCTGCGCTGCAGAACTTGAAGCGACTGAGAATATAGCCAGTGAAACAGGCAGAGAATCAAAGGTGCCTGGCAAAATATGTCTGTGGTCCGGCCTGAAGTGAAGATTGGCCACGCGCTTCAAAATTGGAGATCGTCATACCATTTTGTACACAATGTTACGGACTGAGTGAACCGTGCATTACAGATTGCTAAATACCGGTCTTGAACCAGTTTTTCAGAACAGGTTCATCAAATTCAGATATGCGACTTGCGGTACGAGTGATTCCACTCTACGATCGAAAATAGCAGGCGAATCAGTTCCGCCGAGAATACTGCTTGCGGGCGTTCAGACGGAAAGGGGACATAGATGCGGACCAACATGTTGCAGGCAAAGCAGAAAAGTCATTGTGCTGCTTCTTCCCAGGCTCATGTCTGCCCGAGGAGGGAAAACATATGGCTCTTCTATCACATACAAAGCAAGTCCTGGTGCTGAACGAATCTCTCCCCCTTCTCCATGCTCGAATGGGATGTTATACAAAGAAGTACCAGTGACCCATTGCTTTTGTCTCTCCGTCTGAACACCGTCCATGAGCCGCTGTTCTAATACATTTATGAGAATCGCTTTGTGACTTTGGCAATGACTGTAGGTAGATACAATTAGCATTGAGTTTCCTCGCAGGGAAGTATGAGTCCAGAGGTTTTGAAGCGACTTACGGTGCAACGCCACGACACTGAAAATAAAGCCCAAGCTCAAGAACATGACCACCATGGGATCAACCTTCAACCCGGGGCTCTCGTCGGTATATAATCTCAGCATTGTCCCTGAGGAACCACCCGCGCCTGCGGCACGTGTCGAGGTTGGTCTGGCATTCTTGACTGATTCCTTGTGATCGGCAGCTGCACGACGACGGATCGCAGATCGAGGGCCGCCTGGAGGGGATCCGGCGCGCGCGATAGAAGAGGATCCGCTGGCTTTCTGTGCGGATGTGGTGGACTCGGGACCAGACTCAGGGCCGGAGGTCATGGGAGATGCTGGTCTTGCTGAAGCCTGAAACTTTCGTCAGTCATTCGCGTTGCGATATACAGACTGTACAGAGCAGATCGCTGCACGAGGTTTGACCTCAGTCCATGAAGAAGGGCAAGCAGATCTTCATACCATAGTTGTGCGGCGTATGATACCTCCAGGGGGTTAGGGAGGGAAATGTGAGGAGCCGGTGCGTTCCTACCCACCACAGGTGCAGGAAGAAGAGATATTCAAGGATAAAGGAGGTCGAAGTGAGAGAAGGATCCAATTGAAGTTGCGGAACTCGTGGAAAAGGAAACTGGGTGGTGTAGAAGGTGGCTGCGACTTGGTAATGAATTGGTTGTGGACACTTTTGCGAAATCGACGCCGTAGAAATTCCGGGGAAATTCAAATGACACAAGCAGCGCAGCTGGTCTCCATCCACTGGTTCTTGGCATTCCAAGAAGAGGTAAAACTGCTCCGACCTCACGTGCGACTGGGCCGTGCCACTTTTAAAAGAGCACCCGCCCTCCATCTTATCTCTCTCTCCCTCTCAAAAAAAAAATAAAAAAAGAAAAGAAAAGAAAAAAGCACCAAAAACAATCGGCGCAATCCAGGGTTCGAACCTGGGGCCTCTCGCATTTTACTTAGAGTAGTCCCTAAGCGAGAATCATACCACTAGACCAATTGCGCTGTTAATCACCGTAAACAAGTGCGATGGTAAACCGACCGCATTTGTTGAGGGAAATATTGAATGTATAATCTATATATCTGGTATTGATGAAGCAATAAATTGTGACATGGCAGATACGCTAACTGCCTAGTAGTGTCGGACATTGCCCTTGCATGCGAGATTACGAGAACGCGTCTCGGCGTTCAGCTGTAGGTTTACAGGTACACAGCCTCTGTTAAGGGCTAACTGTCCCTCAAACCCATGTATGTACGAGCATCTCAGCGTTTATTAGGAGCGCATATTTAATAGTACTTCGTACTTGCACCATAGATACCGTGGATAGATATCTATATGAACAGTGAATTAGCAGGGCTCAACAATTGCCGTCAATTACTCTCTTCATTCTCTTCGAACTCAGATTTACAATGTACCAGCATACCACTGCCAAACAATGCTCAACTCATCTTTCTCTATTCACCTACCCTGCTAGTAGATGCGATGCACACTCCAAGGGTGCTAGAAATACATGTGAGGCACGATATCCGGTCAACTGACATGCTCGCTACTCTCCTACACTCCTTCCAACAGTGTCTCGTCGGCGAGGTTTAGGGCCAGGGGTTGAATCCCATTCCCCACCCTCAGCTTACTAGTTGCTAACCAGAGAATTGAACAGCTGACAGTGAATATCACAGGCCGATGCAGTCTTATGCCTTTTATATATTATGTTTGTTTGTTTCCCGTGTGGCCTCCCAAGCAAGTCACGCTCAAACACTCCCGTGTCTGGCAGTTTGTGCCTCTCTCCTCTTGAGCTTCGATCGCCATGTTTCCTACAAGCTTCCTCCAGGCTGTCCTCCACGGCTTGATCTTCTCTCCCACACGAACCTCTGATTTACAAACAGACAAGATGCTGGCGGCACCTTCTCTTCAACTGGCTGCCTCTCTTGGCGCAATCTTGAACTCCGCAGCGGCGACTGCGACACCCACACCCACACCCTCGTCCCGTGGCTTATTGGTGGACGCAGCGCCCAGAACGCCTCAACCGTACGTGCTGCCGAATCTGCAGGGCCACGCCGTGGATTTCGGGGGCTTAATTATCCGAACTCTGGTCCCAAACACCACATCGTCGGGTGCATTTTCACTTGTTGGCGTCAACTCAGGCCCAGCCCCTCTCAACCTCATCCATTATCACAAAGAGATTGAAGCTTTTTACACCCTCAAGGGGAGTGTACAGGTCTTTCATAATACTGACACCGGTCGTGAGCTGCGTGCCAATGACTTCGTGTTCCTGGCCCCAGGTAACAACCATACATATCGTCCCAATGATCTCGACTTCCAACTCACGCTGGGAATGGCTCCCGGGGGAATTGACCAGTTCTTCGCCGCCGCCGGTAATCCTTATAACTCACGCGCCCCGTTTGACCCCCAAGATGCCTCGCAGCTCAACGTGACCAAAGTTCTGGGGCTGATGCCTCAGTACAACATTGTCCCCGAACCTCTGAATACCATCAACCTCGATTGGACAAATGGAACTACAGCAGATGGCTTGGACACCTGGCATAACGCCGAACAATCTTTGCCAGAGGATCCCACGCAAGCCTACTTCATCTCCAGCAACCGCGGGCCCAAATACCTTCATCGGAGTTCAGGCCAGGTTATCGCTCAACTCGCATCTGGCAAGCAGACCAGTAACAAGCTCAGCGTCGCCAGTATAGCCATCAAGCCCCACAAAAAGCAGTCTCGGCTCCAGTTCGCGGTTGACCAGGCGTTCCAAGTCACAGAAGGTCAACTCCACCTTCAAATTGGTGGTGAGGAAGCACAATTGATCTTTGGTGACCTTGCTTTCATCCCAAAGGGCACGCCTTTCAGCTACTGGTCGACCGTGGGGTTCACCAAAATGGTCACCTGGGCAGCGGGCTCAGGGCTCGCCGACAGTCTGATTTCGGAAGCTGAGGCGTGGGCGCATGGAGTTTGGCCCGCGTAAGGCAGAAGGGTTCTGGTCAGCCCCGTAACGACGACAGAGGCGCATTGGCGGGGCAGGATTGGATTGTTCTAATTGTATGCAGCATTTGAGATGGCATTTGAGATGACGAATCTTCTCTGTAAGAATGAACAGAAAGGGAACGGTTGTCACGTGGCGATATAGGCCAAGTTTGGACTAGCCTAATATATCAACACCACCCGTCCTTTTTTGTTCTACTTAAAAGAAGTCATAGACTCTTCCTCATTCTTATTCAACCACTACGGCAGAGGGTAGCTCGTGCGAACAGGTCTTAGGGGACTATTGAGCGGCAGTACTAAACGTTCTCTCGTCGACATGTCGCCCGACATGTTGATAAGAGCACTTTTACTGCCCTGAACGATCCGCCGTCATATCGATTATGGTTCGTTTGAGTATCCGTCAAGGAAGCCGACCTTGAGGCTGTAAAGATCATTCTTGAGCAGCGACTCTCGCCCGGCCTCGAGCAAGCGGCCAAGGTCTTGTCGACAGTCAATGTACAGGCCGCGAAGATCCTTGGCTTTACCCGAGGAGATGTATGTGCATGTCTGAGTGCAGAGTTCCGGTTTGTCCTTGAAGAGGGCTTGAAAGCGCCGGTCGAGATCTGTCAAGTCGGGGATACTTGGCCACAAAATCCGGGTCGCTGTTAGCTGGATAAGTCGTCAGTCAAAGATACGTCCTTCCATGTGCAGGGTTCGGAAGCTCCTACATCCACCCATGGTGGTTTTGACCCCACCAGGATGCAGAGCGTTTGTGTGGGCAACCTCGCCCAGGCCGTCGATTTCCAGCTCCGCTTGTAAGCTAGCGATGGCGCGAACGAGACCAGTCTTGTTGGCAGCATACCCTATCCCAAAGGGAAGGTCCACTGTCGCTGCTCGAGATGCGGTGGACATAATGACACCGCTCTTGCGGGCACGCATGCCTGGAAGGACTTGCCACGCACAGATCAACGGCTGAAAGTTCAAGAGTCGGCGCTGCAAGATGTTCGTAGACACAAAGGGTCGGGGGTCGTACAGCTTTGAGATTTAACCCCACCAATCCCCAGAAGTCTTCAAACTTTTGCATCGATATAGGCTGGGGTTGGCTCTTGCCAGCGTTATTAATGAGAATGCTAACGATGTCCACATTGAGTGCTCTGATTCCATTTAAGAACATACAAATATCTATCGTCCAAAGTACTTGAGCTCGAGATACCTCGCAGGGGTATAGACAACGGCGGTGACAACAAAGGCAAACTCATTGGCTACGTCGCCGCCGAAATCACCAATCAATTTGCCCAGAGGGCCCGTGTACCAGGTCTCAACCATGCCCATGCACCAGGCGACGACGCCGAGGCCGAATGCAGCGAACGCGGCGATGCCGTGGGGCAGTCTGGCTGGGTCGTTCCAGGCGTCGAGGTCGTAGTTTGCAAAGTTGCGGCGGCGGAAGAAGACGTGCTCGGAGAAGAGGATGACAAAGTACGAGGTGCACCAGTAACCGAGAAGAGAGAGGAAGTTGACCAGGTACGTATTGAGTTTCTCGCGGCCGCCGAGGGCGAGGCCCAGGATGGCGGCGAAGCACAGAAACGTCCAGATGAAGCGCGGGATCCGGGCAAAGGGCCGGGCAAACTGTTGGCACGAGATAGCCGCCGAGTAGATGGAGATGACGTTGGTGTTAATCCCCGACAGCACGAGGAGCACGAGCAGGAACTTGGCGAAGCCGCGCGGGTGCAGCATGTCCTGTATCAAAAAGCCAAGTCCCTGGTTCTCGTACGCGTCCTGCCAGGTGGGTTTGTTGTTGAGCGCCGACGCCACCACGGAGCCCGCGACCATGCCGATCGATGTCGGGATGCTGATACCAAACATGGTCATCAGGAAGACCTTGACTCGCGACACGGTCGCCGGGTAGTGCACATAGTAGTCGGACGCCATGGTGCACCACGAAGCCGAGGAGCCATAGACGATGGCGACCAGTGAGAGGGCGGTGCCCGACAGGGTGGCACCGTGCAGGGACGACGGGGTCGTGTTGTCGGCGTATTTGCCCGTCTCACCGAAGATGATCATGAAGATGACGAAGAAGATGAGCCAGGCGTAGCGCTCATACACTAAAATGGCATTGAGGCCGACAAAGGAGATGGCGAGCGCCACAATGGCCAAAATGACGATTCCCACTGCAAGGGAGACGTGCCCGTCGGCCACGGCGTTGAGGGCCAATCCACCCGTGATGCACGACACGGCAGCCCAGCCGATCTGTTGAACGGTATTGAGGGCCGCGATGATCTTGTTCGGGTACCATCCGAAGCTGTACCGCGAGACGGAGATCTGTCTCAGGCCCGTTGCGGCGCCGAATGTCGCGCAGTAGCCAGTCACAGCCCCCCCCAGAATGGACGATAAGATGTAGATGGGGATGGATTGTTTGAGACTCAAGCCAAACTCCCAACCCAAGAACCCGGTGGCGAAGCAGGAAGTGTTCATGGTGCCACTAGCCCAGAGAAGAGCCATGGTGAGCTGCTCATGCCAGGGCACGGGCTTCTTGTCTTCGGGCCGTTTACGATCGATGGCCTCGCTTTCGACTCCCAGTTTCTCGTCCATGCGAGCTTCCAGCCGGCGCAGCTTGGACAGGATACCATTGTCTTGGTGGACCGGGGTATTGTTGTATAGCTGGGGCGAATCCTCCGAGGACGGGCCTGAAAGGGTCTCGAAGCCCTTCTCGCCGTCAAAGGCTTTGGTGGTCATCATCGCCGTTGTAGGCGGGAAGCCTTTCTCCTCGTCGATGGTCATTTTGGACTGGACCCGTGTGGTGTCTTGGGAATGGCGACGAAAGAAGACGAGGGAGACAACCACGGCGGCCGAGGTGTCGCGTGAGATTGCGCGGGGTGAGAGAGAGTCCGATAGCTGTGGCGCCCTGCAGTCGTATTTATCTTGTCATGCCGCTGCTCGTGCCACCAATGCCACGTTGGTGGGCTCTTGAAGTGGGGTGTCTGTGGCCGCATCCGCCTGCCCAATCCTGCTAATGCCTTGGTATAGCAGTTCCAGAACCCCTTCGATTCGACGGTTGGAAAACTCTGAAGATAGCACCGGCTTCTGTCATTGGAGGGGAGAGGATATCATGGGTGATCCTTCCGGGTTGACAGCCCTGAATGGGCAAGGTAACATTCGGCAATGGGCTCGTGGACATGGGGGTCGTGGGTTTGGGGCGTGAGATGGAGTGGCCATTGTTGGATGGTTCCGGGCCAGAGGCTAGAGTGGCTGGATCGGCGGGTCATGGTGGGATGATAAGCATTTTGCTTGTGTGGAAGCCCCGAAAGCTTGGTATGAGATCTGCTTCCTGGTGGGATTGATCTCTCTAGTCTGGTACTGACTTGTCGGGATTAAGTCGACCGCCATTTGACTTGAGATCTGTCTAAACATCCACGTCGCAGGACCTTCCGCAGTTGGTGACATCAGTGGCAACAGTCATTGGTTACATCACCCTACAACTAAAATCTCGAGGCAGACAAGAGAACAACTTCCTCACTCCGACCTCCGAATGAGAATGACCAGCTACAGCCAAACCCTACGAGCAAGCAGGAGACGATGAAACTTGATTCACAGGGCTGGCATCTGCAAACATTGATCAATTGAAGAATCTGTCCCTGGAGTGGTGCGGGGCATCGATACCTTCAGATACACCAAACTCCTTCCTAGCCGAGGCACAATTCCCGGGGGCGGGGCAAGTCCTGGGATCTGAAAGTCCACATCGGCCTCATACAAGGGTCCCCAAAGGTTGTGTCTTGCCATGTCGTATCGGCTACGACGCAGTTACTCGCGGTAAGCAATTCACCGCAATGGGCGTCTATGCTCCCCCATCAGCCTTAGATACAACCGCCTAGGGAAGTATGCCTCTGCCTCACGAAAACAGGTCTAGAACTCCTTCAGTTCCAAGCACGCTTCGTGACCCCAGGATATCCCCACAGAAACTTGGGCGCTCCAAGCAGTGGGGAAGACCAGTGTGATAGTCAAGTGCGAGGATTAGAGGGAACTATTGGCCAAGGCGAGCGGAAATGAAGTTCTGTACATGTATGAGAGCAAGGCTTCAGTGCTGGGTCTGGGTGTGTGACAACCTCCTATAAATCTATCCACGACATCAACTCCTCTCCTACCTTACAAACCATCCTCGAGTTGGTAGCATGCCATATTCCATTCTCATCCCAACACTCTACGTTGTAGATTACAACTCCCCACTGAAAAAGTGTCATCTCCACCCATCACTTGAAATGCCCGCACTCGGAGAACCAATTCCAGCAGCAGCACTCGACATGCGTATTTCTCTTTATACCTCAGTTTCCTCCAAGAGCGGCCTTAGCCATCATACCCGAGAGAGACATCAAATGAAACTATCGTGACTCGTGAACCATATCTACAAGCCAAATCCAAGGGATATTCATTATCGCCGTCGTCAATTGTTAAACATCTACCATGTCGTATTTATTGGGGCCCGACGCCAACGACGCAGCCGGCAAGGACGAGATTACCTTTGACATACCGAAAGAGTGCAAGGCGGGAGTCGTGGTGAATGAAGGTCCCAATTTCCACATCGAGGTACAGATGGTGCCCGTTCCAGAACCAGGTGAGACGGGCATTTGATATCCCCCCTCATCGCGAGATGGTATTCTTGTTGCTGGTATCCGCCATGGCTCTAACATGAATCCTCATCGTCTAGGTCCCGACGAAGTCCTGATAAAACTCAACGTGACTGGCATCTGCTTCTCAGATCTCCATTTCGCCATGGGCGACCTGGGCCCGCCCATGTCCGCGTTCGGCGTGCGATCTCCGGGCCACGAGGGCGCCGGCGTCGTCGTCAAGGTAGGCTCGAACGTCAAGAATTGGAAGGTCGGCGATCGGGCGGGCATGAAGCCACGCTGGTCCGTCTGTGGAGACTGCGACCTCTGTCTGGACGACAAGGAGGCGTACTGCCGCAAATCGCAGCTCTGTGGTCTTCATAAAACAGGGCAAGTTTTTAGTGCCCCTTGTTCTTGCTAGGCAACTTGCGTCGCAGTCTCAATGCTGATTTCTCACTATATAGGACATATCAACAGTATTTTCTGCTCTCGAAGCCCGCTGTAGCCTTTGAGACCTGCTGATCAACTTCCACAGCTATGTCACGTCCCCGGCGCACTACACGCAGAGAATTCCCGACGGCGTGGACGACTATGCAGCAGCCCCCATAATGTGCTCTGCGGGAACCATGTATCGCGCGCTGCGTCTTGCGACTCTGAAGCCGAACAACTGGGCCGTGTTCCTTGGCGGAGGTGGCGGCGTGGGCATTCAAGGCGTGCAGCTGGCCGCGGCGATGGGGCTTCGACCGATCGTGGTGGACACGGGAGACGAGAAAGAGAAGCTCGCCATCTCTCGGGGTGCAAAAGCCTTTATCGACTTCAAGCGCGTTGACGATCCGGTCGCGGAGGCAGTCAAGATCGCAGACGGGATCGGAGCACATGGAGTGTTCGTCACGGCGGGCAATTCCTATCCATCCGCCATCTCGTACACGGGCACACGCGTCGGTGCTGTGGTATCGTGTATAGGACTCCGTAAGTCATCTCTCTTCCTCCCCATTTTGAAGCTCTCCCTTCTCCTCTCACAGCAGAAAAGACTGAACAGGGGACATGAACAGCACACAACAAAGAGCTTACCATCGGAGCACCACCTACCAAATTCATCACTCAGGGACTGACCGTGCGCGGTTCAATGGTGGGGAGTAGAGCCGACATCGCCACGACACTTCAATACGCCGCAGCTGGAAAGATCTCTGGTGACCACACAATCTATCCGATTGACAGACTCCCAGAGGCGGTGGAGAGGATCAGAAGAGGTGAAGCGGCTGGAAGAGGCGTGGTGGATTTTAACCTCTAGTCAAAATGCCCACAGCGGCAGTATTGATATACGAGGCATGCGATAATGGGTTGAAGCTTCTCAGTCGGGGTCCATGTCCGAAATGCTTTCTGTACACCAAAAAATACACGGCGAATGTTCTCCGACCAGTTGACCGTACCATAGTACCGAGGATGCTTTACCAGCTCACAACCACCGGTTACCGGTGATGAAGGAGCAGAAACCAAACTTGACAATGGACATGTTCACCTTCATTGAAAATGATTTGAATTTTGCTGCTCTTCTTCTTCCAACACCATCACCGACGCTGCCAAAGCGCTCGCTCGATCTCGATCAACAATCCCGGCAAGGGTTACACCGTGCTGCCGCCCTTGAAGTTAATGTTGCACAAAACGTATCCCCCGTGCCTCGCGAGAACTGACCTAGAGACACATGTCAAAAAGCGGGCAAGAAAAAAGGACTTCAAAATGTATCCGAAATGTCAACCAGCCCTCCTACATGCCTAATCATTGATTTGTATTAGCACGATTCTGTTTGGGGGGATCCAGTATTCACCCCGGCCAGGACACGACACCCATCTAGCCTCTACGAGTAGAGCTATCCGATCCCAGCCCCGTGTGGTCAGCAAATATGCGGTCTTGAGTGACGAGCTCGGTAGGTAAGTAGGCAAATCATTGCTCCGTACAGGACCCAATCACTTTGGTAGGGAAGAAAAAAAGGGTCATACTGTTTAGTTAGCTGAACAAAGCCGGAGGTAGCACTGCATCGATGGACAAGTCAGCGTCCGCCGTCAAGTGGTATCAGCTCCCTTCTCGTATTCATGCATGTGGTTAGCCAGCCAGTCAGCCAGCCACCCCCGCAGCGCACCGCAGCGCAGCACAGCATGTGAACAAGGAGCTGTGAACAGGGGCGGGTGCGGGTGCGAGGATGCTGACCGGCAGACGTTTATTCCCAGACAGACAGTCTGAGGTGTCAGGCGCAGGACGAGGACAAACTTATAAGATAAACCGAGATTATTGTCGCGTGCTCGATTTCCCCTGGGATTCAAAGAAACCACACTTTGTCCCCATATCTTAGCAATCGCCTCTTGACAGTTCCAATCGTCTCGGAACGAAAATGGTAGGGTACCTTACCTTCAACCAGATAAATTCCACGCACCGTCTAACAGAGAAACTCACTAACTCAGCCTCACGACTCCCCAACCCTCTACCTGATCCGCCACGGCGAGAAGCCCCCAAAAGAGGATGACGGGGACGACAGCCCGGGACTCTCTGCGCAGGGGATCGACCGCGCCGAGGGTCTCGTCCAGGTGTTTGGGCGGAGCAGCAAGTATGACATCGGGTACGTGATCGCGCAGAGGCCCAAGTCAGGTATGTCCATATCCGTGCATCAGCCCTCGGCGCGTTGGTAGTCGAGGGCGCCTCGCACTCCTCTCCCCTAGGTGTGAAGGAAGGGGGGGGGAATTTCGAGGACCTTCTGTTCGGTCTCTCCAAGGCTCAGGCCAAGGCCAAGGGCAAAGTGCAGGGTGCACAGCAAAAAATGATAACGCATCCGGCACGACCAGACAACAGACAAACCCGCCCTTTCCTGACCGTGCAACCGCTCGTCAAATCTCTCCAGGAATACAACGTGGCGTTTAACTCCCTGATCGACCGGGACCACGTCGACAAGGTCGCCGAGGCCGTGCACGACTACACCAAAGGCAAGGGCAAGTACGTCGGCGAGGGCAACGTCCTGATCTGCTGGGAACACGACGCGCTGGAGAAGATCGCAAAGGCGCTCGGCGTCGAGGACGTGCCCGAGTATCCCGGGAACAGGTACCTCATTCACCATTCACTCACTTAGTCACTCAGCGATCGTTCTGTGAAAAAAAGGACTTTGGCTGACGGAGATGAACCAACACAGATTCGATCTCATCTGGACAATCAAGCCCCCTTACAACAAGATTGATAGCATCACGTCGGAAAATGTCCCGGGCCTGGATGATCACTCGGCAACCCCGGCATGAGCAGGCAGAGCAGGCACCAGCTCAACGGTTTGGGCAAGGGACATATGAAAGTGTGGACTGATCTAGTCAGTAAACGCGTATGCAGAGAGACAGCCCCTGTTTGATTGGGTCCAAGACTGCGCGAATATAATTGAGTTTATCCAAGCACGGCTGGCAAGAAAGGGGCATCGAGTATAGACAAGTATCCCTTCCCGCTGATCACGTGAATCGCAGCCTTTTCAACAGTACATTGTAATGTGGTCCCATCCAACACAAGACACCATATAAACACATCGTATATACATCTCGTCACGTCCAAATCCCCATCAAGAACTCAACCACATCCTTGTGGCCACGTTCAAAGGCCAAGTCAAGCGTAGTAAGGCCCTGCTGATCGCAAGGCGCCTCCAGGTCGATCCCTCGACTGTCCATGATCTTCAGAACGTCAAGGTATCCGTTCTTCGCTGCCCATGATAGGACCGTCCTGCCCGAAGGAAGAGTTTGAGTACAGTCTACTCCCTCTTCAATCAGCAATGACACCATGGCCGAGTCATTGTTGTCTGTTGCCAATCCCAGAAGTCGGGCGCTGATGTCAGGATCTGAAAGAGCAGCAGGCTGGTGTCGCAAAAGCAGCCGAGTTGTCTCGACATGGCCATTGTTCACCGCTTTCATCAAAGCACTCTCGCCCGTTTTGGACAGAATTTGCAGATCTGCGCCCTTCTCTAGCAAGAGCTCCAAAATCGCGGTTTGGCCGTACGCCGCTGCCCACCAGACGGCGGTGCGACCATTCTGATCCTGAATGTTTATATTGACTCGGTAGTCCAGTAAGACCCTCACGAGACTCTCATAACCGTACTCGCAGGCGAAGGACAGTGGAGTTCTCCCTGAATAAACTTGACAATCGGCATCGGCTCCATGTTGTAAGAGACACGTCGCAACCGTTTCGTTCCCGTTCATGACGGCCAACAAAAGCGGTGTCCTCCCACTGCGGTCTACACGATTCAATTGCGACACTTCGCAAAGGACCGCAACTGCATTCGTCAGGCCTTTCTTGACCGCAAGTGACAGCGATGTGTAGCCGTCCGCGTCCTCCACGTCGGGATCAGCGTGGTGGAGAAGAAGCAGTTTGATCAAATCAATGTCGTCGTTAGCTGCGGCCACAAGAAGCGCTATCTGCTGTTTGCGGTCCTTTAAATTAGGATCCGCACCCCTTTCGAGGAGAAGCTGGGCGCCAACGAGATAACCGGTAGACACCGCCCATAAGACGAGGCTCCTACCGTCAGTATCGGTTACATTGGGATTGGCTCCAGAGGTGAGGAGGTGCTTTGCAGCGTCTATCTGCCGATGCATGATAGCCCACCAGAGTGCCGTTTGCCCCAGGGAGTTCCGGTGCTCCTTGTCCACGTCACTCAGCAACTCCAACACAGCACTATTGCCCCCCTTCGCTGCCCAAAATAATACCGAACACCTTAAAGTATCTTGGGCTTTGAGGAATGCACCCTTTTCGATCAGCAGCTCGACGACAGGATCATGCCCATTCTCAGCGGCCCACATCAGCGGTGTCTTCCCCTTTTGGTCACTCAAATTTGGGTCGGCATTTCTTTCGATAAGGACGCGGACGGCGTCTATATATCCACCTGCTGCTGCAAAAGATAAAGGGGTGCGGCGTTCAGTGTCCGCAAGATTCGGATCGGCACCCAGCGCAATGAGAGACTTCATCATAACGACAAGTCCCAGCTGGGCGGTGGCAATGAGAGGTGTTGTCCCTCTGGATCCCCTACCATTGGGGTCACAATTCTTCTTCTCAAGCAGTACTCCGACGACCCCTTGAGAATTTCTTGAAAGAGCATAGGCGATAGGGGTTTCGCCGGTGAAGTCTGTGAATTTTTGCGCATTGATCCCAGCATGGGCAAATTTCAGGGCGACTGAGAAGTTTCTCCAATTCAGAGCCTGCAAGAACGCTAGCGCTCGTCGGTTGTCGTCGTGGGCAAATTGGTCAAGTTTCAATATGAGATCAATGATGTCGTGAAAGTCGCGATTGGTCGCCCATCGCAACAAGGACTCATCTTCAGATAACTTCTTGCTTGGTTGTCCACCCGCTTCAAGTAGTCTCCGGCAGATTCTGCGTGCCTTTTCCCGCACGAAATGCCCAATGATAAAGTAGAGCGGTGACCTTGCCTGGTTGTCTTGTATATTGGGGTTTGCGCCATTAGATAGAAGGAAACTGACTGTCGCTTCGTCAAGGTTCTCTGAGGCCCAAAATAATGCTGTGCGGCCCGTGTCATCTTGTAAATTAGTATTTGCTCCATGCTGGATTAAGATCTCCGCGACGCCCAAGTGGCCATAGTTTGTAGCCCACCACAGAGATGAATGTCGTTCGGAATCAAAAGAGTCAACCTCTGCCCCGTGACGGAGGAGGCATTTGGTCGCCTCGACATGTCCATTTCTTGCCGCCCAGATCAGAGGAGTGCAATCTTGAGCGTCCCTATCGTCAACATCCTCCAATGGGTTATTGTCAAGCACAGCATCTATGACATGGCTGAGGTCATAATATCCAGCAACGTGGAGCAAATGTGCCCCGGATTGAAGAACACAAGCACGAGAATCCAGATAGCACAGTGAAAGCCATTGATCCAAGCGAGTTCGAGAAGGCCATTGGAGGTATGTTAAAAGGTCTCTCTGTAACCGTCCATCCAGGTCGGCCTTTTTCAGGTGAGAGGGCCATCTAGCAACAGAATATTGAATGAGGGGATACTGCCTCGCTGGAGACTGCCCTTCATCAACTGGAAACTGTAGTATTTCATCCGTTAGAATGTAATGCATGCAGCATTTGAATATGAGCTCATGAGCCTTCGCCAGCGTGTCTTCAAGCCCAGAACTCGATTGATCTTCGCTGATGGAATGCTCCAGGTCCTGGAGGCCTCGCTGCAGGAGGTAGTCCTTGACTGACTGATGAATGCACTGGATGATGTTGTCCCCGTTGACAATCTCGACAAGGCCACCTGATAACGCTTTTATCAATATTTCCATTTGTCCGTCGGTCTCGGTGAATGTGTCTAAATTCTCCCACGATGCAATAGTCGTTGGCGGATCCAGTGGGTCGAAGGCCAGAGCATACCTCATCTGGATCGGGAAAAGAGGTTCCTCAGTCAGACACACCCATTCGAAGAGACGCATTGCACCGACTCTGTCCTCGGCTGGTATCTTCGACAAGGCCTCCTTGTATATCTGACCAAGCTCTGGAGAGCTATTCTGGATTTCTTTGCGAATCTTTTCCAGACCATAGCCATGACGCCCCTTGCGTGTTGTTTGTTCGAGGATGAGAGCCGTCCACAAAAAGTTTCCCGCAGCCTTGCGCAAAATTTCGTGCTCGACATCTCGCCGCGAATTTCTGTTCTTGAAGACGTGTGAAAGACGGCTATGAACGAATCTGGAAATGTCACCAGAATTTTGAGCTTCGACGCAGATTTCTGGAGCACCAAAGAGATCCATTACGGGATAGTGACGGCAGGTTATGCACACACTGATTGCTGACTGAGCTTCTTCGGTCGGCGTCGTTAGGCTCCAGAGTTCTGATGAGAGCTTCCTTGCCGTTTCTTCGCCGCATTCGTCCAAGGCATCTATGAAGATTTTGATAGATTGTCTGGTGTACTGTTTCACTCTAGTATTGAGGAAGTCGAACAAGCCCTTTTCGTGCCAGGTCCAAGAGTGCCCGTATTCACCCTGATTTAGCTGCTTCAACACGAACGTGTTTGTTAGCTCTCTTAATAGGATCTTCGCTCTCGATAGTATTTGATGCAGGATGGACCGATACAGTCCGACAGGAGACTTTTGCATCTGTGTGCCGCGGCCATGCACGAAAAATGAAGCCACAATGACCTTCTCGTCTCTCTGGCTCTCGACCTTGCTTACCAGCGTGTCGAGGAGAACACTCTTGCCTGCACCAGGCAGGCCAGTTATCCAAAGAAACCCTTTATTGTTTGCGGCCCATTGCTGATAGTCCGGGTGTTCTATCAGCCAGGAACAGGTCCCCTCGGCCGCACGATCGATGTTGTCTCGACGACCGCCCATTTCCCTAAACCATAGCGACTTCAGACACGCTGTTTACGTCTCTTAGCGTGTTAAAATCTTTGGAGGTGGAAAACTTACCAGATTCGGCAGCAGCTGAATGGTATCTAGGTGTCCCTGAAGAGGTGGTTTCGAAAATTGATCCTGGGCCTTCCTGAAAAGAGTCGTCTTGCTCGTATCGAGCACTGAATCCCTCGCTGTCATCAGGAGTCCTGTCAGTCAGGACTCTTCGGAAGGACGGCACAGGACGGATAGTCCACAAAAGCTCTTTCGCATAAGCAGCTGCGGTGGCAGCTGCATACTCCTGCCACCGCTTGTTTTTGTGCGAGTCCGAGTAGTCGCAAATGCCTCGAACAACTAAGCAGTCAAAATAATTCATTAGACCAGCCGCTTCCATCTCAAAGCAAAGAACATCGAGTTCTGCACTGAGACGGTCCCGCATGATCGAATCTCGAATAACCTGGCTACCGGATGCAATAAGCCCATAGTGTATGACTGGGTGGTTTCCTGCACGGGGTGGTCGATTGACGAGTCTGCCGCGGTCGCAAGCCTCACAGAGTGCGTGGTTTGAGATTTGATGGGCGTAAGAAGACTCGAACAGTTCATCTTTGTGAGTGGCAGGATAATTGCAAGCATTCGCTCGGCGTGGATTCCTCCAGACGACGTCCTGTAGGATGGCACCAATTTGAGACCCTCCTTGGCTGAGATGCTGGGCATCTAGGGTTGAAACAGCATTTAACAATACATCAGGAGGACGATTGAGTGAACCGGTTCGGACAAAGTGACCTTGATGGAGGGTTTTCCCAAAATCGTATTGAACCACGCCGCCAAATTGTCCGGTAGGACGGCTCACGACAACATCGCCTAGTCGAATGTCATGGTGCGTCGAGGGAACACCACCACCAACTCCCACGAGCAGGATGAATTTAAGTGAGGGAAAGGTGGCCCGCATG